CGCAAAGCTGTGGGAAAGTTGGCAAATGCTTATATAGTATGACATCTCATCTTTCATGCCAGTAAGTCATGTCATCAACGTTCACCATGGCCAAACTCTCCATGGCCATACAGTACTTGGGAATAAGGTTTCATTGCCTTGTCACCACCATGAAGAAGCCAGATTGGTCTGAATACCAGCACACTAGTTGGTATCAACATTTCCTGGCAGAAGCAGTAAGCCACTGGTCCTGTGGTGGTGCAATGGTTGATAGTGGTACAGGGTGCAATGGAGTGTCTGATGGGCATGGCATCTTGCCATCCCATTACCCTGATCATGCCACTCACAGCCAACAGGCTGTTAGCATACCTGAACAATGGTGATCAGAGTCCCCATGACATTTTAGCTTTCATCAGAAGCTTGAATCCCTACCTGACTAGGATTAAGGAGTGCCATGTCAAACTGGCCACTACCATGTCCCCTGCATGGTGGCAGAACAACACTGGAAAAGTGGAATTGGGATATGAGAGGAGACCTCTGCAGAACATAATTACAGAAGCCACAGAATTTTTTGCAGGAGTATCAGTAAGTGGCAGCACACCTTTGCTCACTTCCAACTCACCTGTTGTATCAGAACAGTGGCATCTCACTACCACTGCTTATTAATTCACATCCATCACCCACTGCCAAGCATGCTGCACTACATGCAATGTGCACAGAAGGCTTGAAGGATATTGATCAAGAGTTATCATATCTTTCCAAGTTAATCTTACATTCACAGGAGCGGATGTCATCACTGGAAGCTGTTACCTGATCTAAACTTGCTTTACAGGGTGTGTGGGTGGAGTCAGTGTCAAACATGTGGGAATGAATATACAGCCTCTGTACATATTATCAACCATCTATAATGAGTTTACTTTGGGGCTGGTAGCTTTACCTTATCAGAATCTATGCCAGTAAATGAATAGGGGCATTCCCTTGATCAATGGGTCTTTTGTGTACTCTTCTCCCCATGGCCCCAATCATGTCAACATCATTCTTGGGCTGGCAGTCTATAAAGCTATCCACCAGGTTCACAGTCAGAGATCTGTGATGTGCCAGTGCCATTGAACCATCTCTGGCACGGTGCTTGAAAACTGCCCATTCAAAGATGCCACTAGCAAAACTGGCTGGTCATCTGGACCTTGATTCATGTTGCCAGCAGTATCAGAAATGTGCAACCCCCAATTGGAACATGTGGAAGGGGCTAATATCTTCTGTAATGTATACTTCAGTGGCATTCACAGTTGTTCAAGGTTGTGTTCCAGCTGGGCCACATTTCAGAATGCCAATGAGGCTGTGTTCTTGTTGCTGCAGAGAGCTTCTATGCTGCATTTAGTTCAGTGTTACCACATTAGTCACTACCATTGCTGGCAACATTGGCCACACAATTGCCATGGCCAGAGGGATCTGTGCCATGTGTATTCCTCACATCTCTGGACAATATCCTCCTTGTTGCTGGTGGATTCCCTGAACTTCCCCAACCTGATCACATTAGAAATGTCTGGTACCAGCACATTCCCATCCAACTACAGTCATCCACTGCCACTTGCACCAAACACTGGTAACACAACAACTCTGGCCTTGTCAGTCGAAACAACTGTGTAGGAAGTAGCATGCTGCATGTACTCATCTTGTGCCACATTTCTAAGCTGTTCCAGAAGGCATGATCAGTAGTATAACTGTATTATATCTCGGGAATTCTAGAGTCTGGCATCTCAGGGACTTAATTGACTGCATCTGAAACTGCTACTTAGTACAAAACATATAGAAAGGTCCTGGCTTCATTTCTGTAGCTTACAAGAGTAAGATGAGATGTCCTGGCTTTGCCAGGATGATGCCAGTTGTGTATGTCCAGGATACTAATAATCTACAATCTACATGCAGAGATATACCAAAAGAAGGAAGGTCAAAATGGAGAGTGTCATTATGTCATGCAAATTTTCCTGTGGAGGAGGGACTGATTTCATTGTCTAAACTTGCCATAGTATGGCTGGCCATGCAAAGTCCAAGGCTCAGAGACAACAAGAGGCAATCCAAGATCAGGAAGAAGTATTGGAATATGACATAAATCTCTACAGGGCAGATCAGGAGAAGCCAAAGGAGGAGCAGAGAGATTTGCACACCATTTGCAGGCAGGCAGAAGACAAACTGAAGAAGAAGGGTAGGGATGTCACCATAGTCCATACAACTCTCATGAGGCAGCTCAAAGGTGGAAGAAGTTGTCAGCAAGCAAACAAGGAGAACTTTGGATGGCTCACCACAGAAGAAGATTGTGTTGTGACATATTGCCTCAACCTTGCAGCACAAGGATTCCCCCTCACACACAAGACTCTGAAGTTCCATGTTGACAGTCTCTTGCACACATGACTTGGAAGCACCTTCCCAGAGTCTGGTGTTGGCCAAAATTGGACAGATCAGTTCATCAACTGGCATGCAGATCGTTTGAAGAGGTTCTGGAGTTCATCACTGGACACTGCATGAGGATGAGCAGTAAATTAGAACACTCACAAGGCATGGTTTGACTCACTGGAGAACACCATTGATGAACACAACATTGCTGAGGGTTGCATATGGGCTGCCAATGAAACTGGTTTTCCAACCTGGCAATGGACAGAGATGGCATGTCATTGGTTCCACAAAATGGAAACTGCAGTATCAGCAGTGAGATGGGAATTGTGAAAATATAACTGTGATGGTTGCTATCTGCGCAGATGGTGATTCAATCCCACCAACTATCATCTACAAGGGCCAGTCATTCTCAACTAACTGGCATCAGAATAGCACAATGAATGCTTCATAAGCCTACAACACAGCTTGGATGAAACATCTAAACTTACACATATCTTGCCAGCATTGCTCATTCTCCAAAAGGGTGGACTGATGGAGTAATTGGATGTCACTGGATTGAAGATTTTGACAAGAAGACATGTACCAAAGCAGATGGGCAACCTTGACTTCTTCTTGTTGATGGCCATAACTCCCATTATGCCAAGGAGTTTCTCAACTATGCACAAGAACACAACATCCATGTGTTGTGTTATCCAGCACATGCTACACATGTCTACCAAGGATTGGATGTCATCATCTTTGGGCCACTGAAATGATACTGGACTGAAGAACATGATTGCTTTGAAAGCACAAACTGGCAGAAGATAACAAAGCAAAATTTTGTGTCAGTCTATGAGAAGGCACACCATAAAGCACTCACCCCAGAAACCATTCACACAGCATTCCGAAAGACAGGAGTCTGGCCTATCAATTGGAATACAGTAACCAGAGAGATGATGGCTCCCATCTTCGAGACATCATCTGCAGGTTGTCTACCTCTCCCACAACCCAGTCCTGTGCATGTGGTATCATCTGATGTGTCAATACCAGAGCAACAATACCCAGTCCATGACTAGCAATGACTCAAGTACCACAACAACACAAGGTCCCCAAGATCAACCACAGTGGCATACTGCAGCTAAAGATGCCATAGTAGCACTGGCATCAACATCAGCGTCATTCCTTGTTGACAGTTCACCACTTACCTCTTCTTACCAGCTTTCGGAGTGTCAACCTCTTGTGTTGACACCAACATGCAAACAGAAGCACCCATTATTGGATGAAGAACCAATGAACAACAGAGAGAAAGCCTACCAGAAAGCATTGCAAGATTCCTATGCTTGCAAAGCTGATTACCAGAGTGCACTTGTCAGCATGCAGTCCACAGTAGTCCTGTAATCAATGTTTTGGAACCAGCTCTCACAGCAGTTGGCAAGTCAAGAAGAAAGCCAGAGGCAAAAAAAAAAAAAAAGGAAAGCTCAATAGCAATGGCCTCCCAACGCTGCTTACTGGCAGTGAATTCTATGAGCATGTTGTGGAGCATCATCAGGCAGTCGAAGAAGAAAAGACAGTGCAGGAAAACTGCCGAAAGGAGAAGGATGAACAGGTGGGTGTTATGGCAGCTTGGAAAGAAGTGGAGGATCAGCAGAAACAGCAAAATAAGGTGCGAAGAGATACTTACCATGATCAACTGCACCAATGGGAGGATGAGCATGCACTCACAAAGCAGGAGGGGCAGCGGGTTAGATGGCAAAAGCCTAAACTAGGAAAGCTCGAGTTACCAGCCCCATGACCAGTCATTGCAAGTGGCGAGCAAAATTGCAACAACAGCGATGACAAGGCAGTGGACAGTGATGGTGGGAGTGAGGAGTGAATATTATCAATGACATCAGATAATCAAGATCCTGTGATATACCTTTTTTGGTGCTGGTGCAAGTGCTGGTGCATACATGATAAGGTGCAAAAGTACTCCATGGCACATAACAGAAATCCTCACAGAAATCTATAATGAGATCTCAGTCGAGTGTGCGAGCAGCAAACGTCTATATTTGCATTACCTATAATGAGATCTAAGGTAACGACGTGAGTGCGAAGTACATGAACACAGAACAAGACACTATACCCACCTCAGTCGAGTGCACAAGTGGCAAATGTCTGAGGTGGTGTTACTACAGTAGCGAGTTAAGTACGCTACATGAAACAAAAGGGGTGAGACACGGGTGTTGAACCCAGTGTTGAAACTACAAGCATGGTCATAGTGCAAGTCCTTGTACTGTTAATTTATATGTATGAAACATTTGAAGACAATAAAACAAAAGTTACCACACTGTATTGTCAGCACTCGAGAACAACTAAGTATTGTGGTCTTGTAGACCTGTAAACAGGAAGTGTTTCCCACGGTAAGGAAAAGTAGCATCAATTAATGAACAAAGACTACGAGTGACTTGCCAAATCTAACAAATCCATGGATTATAATACAATATACATTGGTGTACTACATGGGTTGATTATAGTACTAATGGATCCTCACATTTGATTGAACAAAAAGGCCATTGTTATGATTTGGCAGACAGTACAAATTCAGTGGTGCAAGTGGCAGTGGATGACTGTATCTACTTTCTGACCAGCTTGTGGAGTACATGCACCACCAAGTTCTCCATGAGACGCATCCTTGCACTGCTGCTGTCCCACCACAACCTCTCAAACTCGAGATTCAGACATGTATTGCACTCAATCAAATGGTGGCAACACTGGCCCAGGCCTATCATAATCCTCATATGCCATTTTAAGAGAGCTGCCATGCATCCTGCTAACATTTATTGCAGTTCCCTCCAGCATTGAATTAATCAGGCTGTCAGAAAGCTTATCACCTCAAGAAACAGGTTTCAATTTGAACCAGGAGGCCTGCATCCTTTCCACTCACCCACCATATCTGAGTGGGTATTTGGATGTTCCTGCAATCATTCTGGGTGAAGGGGATGCAATTGCTTTGTGGTATCTACCCAGTGCAATGTCACAATCAATGCAGGTAGGCATTGTGATGTATCCTGCTGTCCTCAGTTCACAACCCTATCAAGGACCAGATGATGGGAGCTATTCCCCCACTTTCCAATATGTTGACTCGAAGCATATCCCATGGTTCCTGGCAAACATCACCTGATTACTTTCTGGTGGATCACTGTTTGCTGGCAGGCTGCTTAGAGCTTTCACTGGCCCAGCATCAACTTGGTCATGCTGTGAGGGTCATCCTCATGCTTCATCTCAAAATACTCATTGCTAATGTTGTAGACACTGGCACACCAGCCTTCTGTATCTGCCAACCTTGTGGCTCCAGCCACTCAGCAATGGATCCATGCTGTCCAAATGCCATTGGCAATTCTCTCTGCTACACTTTCAATTATGCACCCTCCTTTGTACAATGCTGGTTGCCAAGCCATGTGGCAGCTGACTGAGTGGTCTGCCATGAATGATCCCAAAATGTTGGCAGTCCTCTGACACTGGCCAACAGTTTACACCAGCATCTCCATGATTGCTAACCAGTTGACTCCCCTTCATTGTGACCCACAATCCCGTGCCGACTGGTATGACATGCTCATTAGTGTCAGCAATTATTCTGAATGCACTCTTGACATTCCCTCTCTTGGTCTTCAATTCAATTACCAGCCTGGCACTGTTATAGCCTTTTCTGGCTGGCTTTTGCAGCATGGTGTGAATGATGTGAGTGGCAACCATTGCTCACTAGCATTTTACATGCAGGACAATATTCACAACTGGCTTGGAGTCCCTTGAAGTGATTGGATGCATGTTCCATTGGTGTGGCAGGCTCTCACAGGCATGTAATGCACCCATGGCACCCTGTATTGTATTGTATTGGTCCTTATTTAATGCCCTGGGCATCCAGTATTTGATCAGCACAATCCCAGTTTGAATGAAATCTATGAAATCAATGCAACATTACTAGCCACCATTCTGTGATCATATGAAGTATAGGTTATGATCTTATACTGGTGGTAAGATATGCAGTATACTGACAATTCATGCTATGCTTCATGTCCATATCTATAGCACCCTAGCTGTGTGCTGCTGTATACAGAACTATCCATGCTGGATGCCATGTGCTGACATGAATCCTGCTCAATCCAGGACGTGTGCTGTGGTATGTTGGGTCAATGCCATTGGCTGCTGAGAACTGCTGGTTTATTCTTCTGCATCTAACCTGTGTGCTGCTGTATGCAGAACCATCCATGCCACACATCAAACCTTGATGTGGATCCTAAGGCAGTCAGGTGTTTACCACAGTTTGCCATGCCCATGCTGCCACATTGCTGGCATGTGCTGAGTAATATCCTGCCAGCTGCTGCAACCCTCCAGAGACTCCTGGAGCAGGTGCCACCAGGTGCCACAGGTACATGTTGCCACAACTTCCCCATGAATTATGCTGCATGCTGCAATGTGCCATAATGTGGAATGCCATATCTGTCAGATGCTACCACTTCCAAATACAAGGTGCTGCACTGCTGAGCTATCCCAAAGCATGCCAAGGTCTTGTGCCAACTTCCAGTGCTGATCTACACATGCTGCAGCATGCCACTGGATAGGTGACATCTCACACTAGGCTACTCCAGGTACTACAGGGACAATTTGATTGTGGCCTACTCATGTGTTATTTGATAATAGAAGCTTGGCTGGTCCATACAACAGGGGGATGAGTCAATGTAGGGCTTGACCTCCACTGGCCTGTGGGACACAGCCAATTGTCAGCTGTGTTCTCTCCACCAGCATTCAGGTGTCTGGTGAGGTGGATTATATAGGGTGGTAGATGCTGTAACTGTTGCATGGTAAATTATTGTGGGTATGGTCAGTGAGCAACATATGAGCAGTCTTCAATGATGTGGAGGATGGGTTGGACACATAATGAAGTTCTGCCACAGACCTGCCCTCTGAGTGTCCATACAGCATCAACAATATCTGAGTGATAATATGTGGCAGTGGGGGCTGGGCCATGATAATCACCAGTACATTGATAGCACTCTTGACATCCTACCACACACTTTGAAATTGGTGTCAGTATTGGGATTTGGATCCATATGATGGCTCACCTGAATTGTAGGTTGGAGGCTGCTCCCAGCTGTGGACACAAAGGATACCCATCTCCCCAGAAGAACATCTGCCCTAACAAACCTTTGCATTCTGATTCCTCTATATAGTAACTCAAAGAACCACTGAGCTGACTGCTCATAAATGTATGAAAATGTGGAGAAAAGAGACTGTTGTGACTACTTTATGCTGCATGTGACAATTTGGTCTATCCAGGTAAGTGTTATCCATCTGTCTAGTGATGACAGTTTCACCTATGATCAATGAGGTACCTTCCCCTCTGTGAGAAGGTGTGATTGTGAATTCTGGTAAGATACAACATTCTCATTTGCTGTGATTCTAATGACAGCAGGCATGATGTCAGCCAAATGCCAACATGAATGGTGCCTAGATCAGTGAAGGAATGTTGTGGTATTATTGTCCAATGGTGTTATAGGACTCAATGGTGTAGTTGTGCCAGGAGATATATCCAGTAAGTATATGCATGGCAGCATTCTCATTTGCCATGGTTCTAAAGACAGAATGAATGGAACCTGCTGAATGCTGGTCAATGGCATCTAGGAGGAATGTTGGATATTGTTGCCTAATGGCATTATAGGACTCAAGAGGGACATTCAACAGAAGCTTCAAAGCATTGACTGACACTGTTATTGGAGAAGACACCTGGATATATCAGAAGGTACTACTCTTCTGATACCACATGGATGATCATATCTGGCATTGATCCTGGACCAGGGCAGGTGATCTTTACCCAGGACTTTGCAACTGTTATTGCTCAGGTGTGCATAGCCACATACAGAGCAGCCAAGATAAGGCACTTGCTTGATGTAAATGAATCCTGTCAAGAACTGTGACCTTGGTTCTACATGCTCACAGGTATCCCTTCATTTGTGACTACAGATGATGACCTTCTCCCCTTGGTACCATCCACAGCTGGAATGACATACTCTGATGCTGTGTTAACAGCTCCACCATGCTCCAATGGTGCAATCCTTCCAGAGTTGGCTTGGATTTGAAGCATAGGCCCTTCTTTGTTTTCTAGGAATACCTGCAATGGTCCTCCTTTATCTGATTATCAGACATGTGTCCCAGTACCAATCTGTCATGTGGTCTAATCATGGATATGGATTCTTCAGGATCTGTGGGGAATTCTGTCTTGCCATTCCAGGTTGATCAGATCTTCCAATCAGCTTCTGGACTTGCTACCATTCCTTCTGTCAGTTATGCATCATTCCATGTAGCTGGGGGCAAAATCCTGTTCACCCAGGGTCAACTTGACATGTCTTGTGACAAGAAGCCAAAGCTCCAATTGTATTACTGCTTCAGGGTGGGCAGCCTGATATGCTTTGGGGAACTGGGTCATATAAAATGGCTCAGATTTGTCCTTCATTCTCCAGGCTCTTGTCTCCTCAACAACCATTGCTCATTACAATTGCTATACTCATGGGTCTCTCTCACCTCTTAGTACCATCACACCTTCACACTGACTGTAATCAGCAATAACTATGCCCAGAATTACCATCTGCAGATGGCTCCCCAAGGACCTGGCAGCCATTGAAACATTCAGTGAGTGACTTGCTCATGCACAGTCATATTATCCAAGGCTGTGACCCTAAAACCCACATGCACATTGTGAAGGTGGGGGAAAGCCTGGAGATGGCAATAAGCAGAACTGGCATTATGTTCAACCTAAGCCAGCTGCAGTGCCACTATCACTTCACTGTTGGCCAGCAGCAAGTCTATACTGCTGTGGATTGCACCCTATAGTGCAGGAATTCCAAGATTACATTGAGAGGGAGGGTGTAGTCTATGCTGCATTCAACAAGATGTTTGAGAAAGCTCCCCCACCTCAGAACAAGGACCAAGAGAAGGTATGTAATTTCAACTTTTGTGACTATTACTCTGCTCATCTCAGTCTAGATCAGAGATTATGTGGACTTGCATCAGGAAAATAACACTTTACTATTTTTGACTTTTTGTGACTAATGTGACTTTTTGGGAAGGAATCTACTATCATTACCCATGTCCTGAGGCATGGCTGCACTGTTCTTGCTTATTTTGGTCTTGTTCAAACCACCTAATTCATAGCTTTCAGTAGATACCACATACATTCAAATTGATGGAGGTTCCAAAGAGATATTGTGATTTTTCTCTCAGACAATGTGCATCACACCAATGGCTCAATATCTCTGAATTTTTAGACATTTTCTAGCCTTCTTGGCTTAGATATATCATCACTTAGTTGTCTCAATAGATTCTGTTCTCTTTTCATTCTTCAAAATGCTGTATATGGTCAAAAAAAAAGTACAGATAGTAGGTTCCTTCCCAAAAAGTCACAAATGGTCACACAAGTCACAAAAAAGTCAAAAAAAAGTCACAAAAAGGTCAAAAATAGTAAAGCATTAATTTCCTGATGTGATGGAGATGATCGATACAAACCTGACAACAGCCCCCAGTTTTGGTGAGGGTGTGAGTGCTATGGTGGCAGCTGTTCCCTACTATGGTATCATTTTGCATTTCTGCAACACTCCTACAGGCTATAACATGTTCACCCACCCCAGAGTCAATGAGAGATTCTGTAGGGTGTTCACTGAATGGCATGAGTACCTTATGTTGACAGCATGTCCACCAACATCATCCATGATGGAGATAGGCAGTTGGCTCAGTACCACAGCACTCAATGCCATGGTCCAAAGTGCTGGTGGCACTCCTGATCAGGATACATTTGACAACTTCTTCATTTGTGACACCAGCAACCCACACTATGGGTTCAAATCCTATGACAAGCTCTTCATCAGGGAGTTGAAAGCCATCCACCATGCCATGGTCTATCCTGACAACCCAGTGATCATCAACTCTGCATGCTCATCTACCATCCACATGCTTTACTATAACCTCAAGAAGATGGGCAGATTCTGGATCAAAAATACTCCCTACTCCCTCAACCACATCCTCACAGAGGATGAGCTTGTTGACACATTTGTCAATGGGACTCTTATTCAGGCTATGCTTGGATCTCTTGACTACCACTGCTGGTGCAGTCCTGTGAATGGTACTGTTGTGGAGACATGCCTCATTTCTGGTGCAACCCATCCTAACCCACTGCCTACCTACTACACAGCTTGCTTGGATGATGACCATGGGGATCTGGACATTGTTTCCCACTTGCAGGACTTTGTCTCAAACATTTCCTGCACATGCTTTGATCTACATCCAAGCTGAGGAGCCCATTGGCTTGATGTGCCTTGTGGGTGTTGGCTTGGGTGAGGTGTCGACCTGTAATGTTGTTGTCAATGAGGGTCAGGAGCTCAAGAAGGGAGATGAGCTGGGCCAGTTCCACTTTGGCAGACCTACCCACTGTCTCATCTTCCAACCTGGCATGACTGTGACACCAATTGACCAGGACAGCCAACCTTTGGAGGGATTGAAGGTGCAGGTCAGCAAAGATATCCTCATCACAACAAAGCTGCCTTGAAATGATAACTTCAGTCATGTGTCTGTATAACCCCAGATTTAAACAGTGTCATCACTTGCATGTACAATAGCAAAGTTGAATTGGTGCCTTGGCATGTTTGTGTACAATGTAACATTTCAGGCATATGGCAGGAATGCTATCTTTGAGCATTTCACTTGGTTCAGTGTAAGGTGTCAACAATGTGATAGTTAAAGGCAGATAAGTTGGACTGGTTCCACTTCCAAGGGTCTACCCACTGCCTCATGTACTACTCTGGCTTGTGTTGCTGATCCCTCAGGGCAAGGACACCACATTATTAGTAGGATTGTATGTGCAAACCGGCAAACATAGTTTCTGTCTAGGGTGTTTCCTCTAAGTCAGGATCGAAGACTGTATCTAGATGTGTTTGCAGAAGATCAGCTTCGCAACAGCGGTTACATGTTTTAATTATTTGGATGTTTACTACTATCAGCGTGGGAGATATGTGCATTGCTATATACAGTAATTACGGACACAACGCAAGATGCATGAATGCTGGTGAAGGTACTAGGGAAACTGAGAAGTAAGGGAGAGAATGTGGGAAGCGCGGAGCACTTTCCGACCCCAGATGGGAGCAGGATCCTGATGGAGGCGTGAGCTGCGAGGACGGATGGGTACACCTCGCAGGTTGTGCTGCTCCTGATGGGTCCGCTAACACACCAGGGGCCCCAGATTGGGTGGTGCTGCGAGGTGTCGAAAACGAAGAGTGTGAGGAAAGGGAGCGGAGTGGGGTGCAACGACGAGAGTGGTCGAGCAATGCGCGGAACGAGCGGGGCGCTGGAGGCACGGGAATGAGAGAAAAAGTACCGCTTACCTACGCTACTAACTGTTGCACCACTTATAAGATCCTCTGGGATCGGCACCTAGCTCTGAGGTAACCTTTTCAGTATCAGGTAACAGGATGCGCCGCATTCCTGGACGCATCCTCCTTCCCCAGGGGAGTAAGGTCTAATCTTTAATGGTGTTTGTAGTTGTAGCGTCCAGGAGCGCCCGGAGGGCATTTGTCATGAAGTGTGCCGAAGTCAGAATATCATGGCATCGCACACCCCTCACCGGACACCTCTCAAACGGATATCACAAGGATCTCTGTTCGCCCTTTCGCGGTCGGGGCACAACCCGGACGCGCCGCATGGTCTAGGCTTCCTCGAGCCCGTTATGTCCGAGCTAGTCGACGAAGCAGAGTTTCTCCTGGCCAACGTCGAAGGGCTCGGAAAGTTGAGCCAGTCGCTCAGGACTTTCAACGAGAATTTTGCGAGTTTCTTGTATGTGATGGATATGAACGCGCTGACTACGGATTGGCCGCAGGTTTGTCGAATCAGACGGCGTGCGTTCATAGGTATCCGCTGACGCGTTTGTACATAGGCACCGACTGACGCGTCTTTCCAATTGGCGCGACGAAGAGCCGGTAGGTTTCTCAGTGACCGTAAAGAACGCATAAAACACTCATAACATTCTCGCCCAGAGGAAGATGCTCGCATTGCCGCGGAAGCAGCCTCGAAAGCCGCTGCAGCAGCTCCACCTGCGCCTCCACCAGACATCGACGCTGATAAAACCACCTACACCGAGAATGCAGACTACGAAACAACGTTTATGACCACCGCCAACGTGACCAACGCATCGACAACTACTACAGCCACAACCAAACCGTCGACGAAGACAAAGAAGAAAGCCAAACCCAAGCTTTCCGCCAAAGAGAAGAAGGAAAGATCGGTGAGTAAACTCCCAGTAGAGGTCTCTGGGAGATCGGTAATGACAAGGGGAAAAGTTGATGATAGAAAAACTAATTTCGTGTCTTCCTCTCGAGTTTCGTGGTAGTGATCCCGTACGTGCGTCTGATCATTGCTCTTGCGTGGATACTCATACCCGTCCGTAGAGCCTGCGCCGTAGCATGGAGTCCATCATAGAGGCAATGATGGACAGTGAAGGCCGAGGCGTCAAACGTGTGGTTCCTTCTACTTTTTTTTAATTAAACTCGGCGCTGATGCATTTTCGCAGTCATCGAACTGATCGCTCCTCCCGACCTCAACCAAGCTCGGGTGAACAAATGTTTAATCGCTCTCGTGAACAGGAAGCTGGTGCGGAAAGACAACTCAACGGTACGTCGTTGATGCGATTCAGTGCATCGGATCGACTCGAGGACTGATAACAGGGCACTGTACTCTATCATTGGCATGGCCTTCCATGAAGCAAGTGTGCTGTATTATAGCGACTGTAAATCTAGCTTCATATACCCTCGTTAAGCGAGCTACTGAGATGCAAGCGGGCGATCATGGCCGATGCTCCCCCCGAAGAGATTAAAAAAATCAGCGTTGTGTCCAGCCGGCGCTCGACGTAGAACACACGATCTCCTCGCGAGCACATGTTCATTTCTTGATCGACGGAATGAAGCAGGGGAAAAAAAAGTTTAGAAAAAGCAACATGAAACACGACAGAGACCCGTCCAAATATCGTACTTTTCTACACGATAACAGATGTTAGTGTCCTCTCAGTTCGTCTGTGCCCCCACGGCCTGTATGGCGAGATGTCATTTGTCAAGAACTGGTGGTAACGGAAACACAGCAAGTATAACTTACGAGACGTTTGAGGTGTTCCATGAATACTTGCAGGCTGACATCGTCTGTGAAGATCGCAGGGCCAGTGCCAGTGCCTGCCGCTGTGCCATACATCGACGTCGTCATATGCGTGGTAGAAGGGTTAAGCTTCGACAAGAGGAAACGAGCCTGACTGCCACCCTGATCACAGACGATGTACCGCGGGATCGGGAAGCGATCAACGAGGAGATCCTAGAACGTGAACCGATCGTCAGCATTGCCAAGTATTCGCAAAGACGGTTGTTGGAGAACAGTGAATCGGCCGTACATACCTGTGCATCAGTAACAGGTGCTTCTAGGAGTTCCTTGAAATTCTCGTAGCCCTCTTGATCTTGGTATCCTGATTTCCTCCACTGGGCAATCGTTTCTCCGTGGAAAATAAGGATATGGAAAAACGTATCCAAGAGAAGGATGACGTCCGGCTTGATGGAAACGCTATCGAGTAACACCGGCTGCGGTGGAACGTCGAAAGTATATGACATAAGGGTAGGCTGAATCATAATCAGTGAGTTGTTCACGTCTTCTTCATTAAGGATATGTCTATGGACAGGCGTTAGTGCACCGTCTGCATGAAAAAGGAAGACCTCGCACAAACCTATAGAAAGCTGTCTCGTCCGGGCTGTTGTTGAACACCTGCAAAAACTGACTCCTCCGAAGATGGAACATGAACTGCGGGTAAATGCTAAAGTTATCCGACAGTCTAAAGCTTGCCGGGTCTTCCTTTCGGTAATCAGCGAACTTCTGGCAAAGCCGGATCAACATGCGATCCAACCAACGCAGTACATCGGGAGAATCATCGATCTCAGCCTTAAACACTGCTATTCTTGCCATCAAGACAGCCGCGGCTTCCTGATCGAACGAAGCTGCAATGCTCGGAGACCCTGCCTCCGCAAAGTTCCGCGCAATAGTCGTGACCCGCAGGCGCTGCTGTCCGGAAGAATGCTGATAGTGCGTTACGAACTGAATCAAACCCCGGGAGCCCGGCTGAAGAGCTTGCCCGGCCGGAGTAACCACTTCGAAGTACACAGCTGCCGATGTTCGCGGAGTGATAGAATTCAGCCTCCATGCAGAGGTTTGCCCGATACCAATTTCGGTCTCTCCAACACAAGCAGACTTCTTTCCAGCGGAGATAGCATGCCCAATAAGTCCAGAGACTCTCAGCTCCTTGGTTGTCTTAACCAGTGTCCATCAGCCAAATGCCATGTAAAAGTGGGTAAACGAAAAATACCTGTACGTCAAACGTAGCATTGAAGCCCATTTCCAAAAAGTCCTGGTCATCCTTGTTAAAAATACGAAGGAAACTTTGCTGGAAGATGGACGTCGCGAAGGAATCGGATAAGACGATAACGCCGTTTGTGGAGTTTGGTAGGGATTTCATCTCCAGTAATCCCACTTGATCCAAGCAGCCGGCAAAGAGGTCGACTACATGTCCGTTATTAGAGGCCCGTTTCGCGAGGCCTTCATAGAACTAGAAAGTCTTTAAGAAGGGAAGTTTTTCATATGACAGTCACCGCACCTTCACAGCACGCTTGTAGTGTTTGACGCTGTCACGTTCGATGTCGTGGTGGGAGCGAATAGGCTCTTTCAACTCGTTGCTCACCACCATCCCTGGACCCTCGGTAGCCGGACCACCAGCAAACAGCATGATGCGAGCGCCCGTATTGGGATATGTCGTCTTCAAGGGGTCAACGCGGGAGGTTACAACACAGCAGAACAAATATGCTCACCTCCAGCAATCCGACCGCAACACTCAAAGCAACGCCGGTACACCGCACTGGACGCTTGTCATTTGCGACGGGCCAAGGATCACGTTGGAGGGACTCGAGTACTCCGGTGAGCTGGAACTCCACCTGTTGCAACGGAAGTAAAAATCGGGCGGCGCCAAATGCTTGCTGGGGCATGGGTTGACCAGGACGAGGGGCAGCACGAGCAGGTGTGCTCAAGCCAAGCATGTCCTGGATTTGTTTTGGAGCATATTCCTTGCCACCACGGAAGACATATGATTTACTGCATTCGGCATAACCGAGTTCGTGGACTTGAGTCTGTTACACGTCAGCTGTTGTCCGCTGACCTTGACAGACAGCATACCATGGTACCAAAAGTGATAAGCCCAACGAGGGCGTACGGTGGGATATGACTGAGACTGACAGTAATGGCCTTGCGAAGCGCCTTGAGGTCTTCCTCATCCAAGCAAGTATCGACCACGAGGAGGAAGATCGGGGGCACCTGGGCAGGACGCGAAAGAGTGTATTCGATGGTGGTGTATTTGGGAAGCAACTCAGCAGGCAAGTTAGTGTTGGAGATATCTTTGTAGTGTGGGGGGAAAGCATTCCGGGACAAGCAGAAGGGACAAATCCACAGTTTTCCTCTTATATCGATTTGACTGTAGAGAGTCAGGGGGTCGGATTGAATGCCACGAGGACGACATATTTACCAGTAAGGGTTGAGAATGGCCCGACACGGCGGCTTGCACGTCACTGGCTCGTACAACACTGGTGGCAAGTCCTCTCGTTGTTTAAGTGGTGTGTATAGGGCTGATATCGGAACGACTGTCCTCGTTGCTTCGATTCGGGAAGATGGCCATACGTTCCACGACAGACGGACGCCTGTTCAGAATGAGCAAAAAAGTCAATACGTACATATCAAGCGGACTAGGCGATGAAGAACGAACCATCCCGGTCCTCTACGTCTTCAAAGTTAAGCATGACTCCAGACACAAATCCTTATCAGTCGTATATAAAGTGACCGATCTACAGAAGAAGAAAACACAGGCTTTGGTGTCGACGGCGCAGCTGAGCAGGACGAGTGCGTCGATGAATTGGGCCGACGTGTTCTTGGGATTGATTTGTGGCCAAATACATCCAAACACATTCTGCCCTGATAGCTTTCGAGGAGGCTTTGGCCTGAGCCGAGGGATGCACTGGCGTTCAGTGGGTACCGATCATATGGCGTTGTCCGCATAACACGCAGACTGTGGATATCCTGTGCTGAGCGCTCCCTTGCAGTGTTGTATCGACTCTGCCAGGGAATTGACCCATGAGCTTTATTGACCAGCAAAGGTAGATGTCTGACCCCTCGGGTCGTCTTGCGACTCCGTTTACGGATGGGTGCCAACTTGATCATTACCGTGCACTCCAACAACGCCCTCCCCCACGTTCTTCTCGTCAACCTTGCGCTCTGGTGCCTCCGTTTCGCATCTGTTCGGCTGCGGATGTTCGCCCCATGGCCATGTTATGATGTACTGCCGGATTATCTCAAGACCGGAATATTGATGCCCTCCTTCCCCCCCTCCTGAATCCCCTTTGCTGTTTGAAAATAAGGTTGTCTACTCCCAGTCCAAGGTTCCACACCACTCCAACATTTCGTGCGAGTTGTGTGTTGATGGAAATCTGATTGATGGCCTTGGTTACCCGCCGCCTATTTCCCTATTGGTGCCCCGGATAGGCGCTGCAGTGTTTGCTGAGCCCCAAGAAGTATATATAGTGATCGAAATCTTGTTTGCCTTCCGATCCCTCGGTTTTCTTCGAAGTCCTTCTCCAAGCTGTATGGACCACCAACTACTCGCTCACTACACGACTCCTGCAGAGTCAGCCGAAGGGACGGATTCGTCTTGGTGTCTGGTGACTAGTGACACGCCACGACACGAGTAGGGCAGTTTCCTGTTGTGCAAGAATCCAGGAAGTACTTACGAGATCTCAGATGTTTTCTCAAGACCAATAATCATCTACTGGAGGAACTGCCACTGTCCGACACGGTTACCACTCTATCTACTCCGGAGCCTATTGACATCCAGCTGACTGGTGTAGAATGGTGCGTCCACAAGACAGCATTGACCACCGCCATTTGTTTATATGGAGAAACATCGGGTATCAGCTACAATCCCCCGCGTTTCATTTTTTACCCTATTAGCTGGGACGAATCCGATGGCCTGCTTATGTCCACAGAAGCGGATGATTGTTCAGGAACAAACCTGAGGATGAATGTCGACTGCCATATTCCCGAATTACATGACGACGAGCCTGATCCACTCTCCGCTGTCATATATCGCGAAGATCCGTACGAATCCGTCGATCGCTGGAGGCGAGATGTCGTGGATTCCCAAATTCCCTTGTGGGATGATCCTCTTGAACACAGGGAGGACCTGGAGAATATGTGGTTGCTCGTGCCACTATCGCTGCCCGACGAGCCTGATGAAGTAGCGATAAGTCTCCGTCCATGACGCTACACCCACTATAACCTATTTTGAGGACGCGCCACAGGTATAATTTATGAATATGTGTGTACGGAATGTAGTTATGGACATGGCATAGGACAGTAACGGACATAGACTCCCATATTTGCAGTACTACTGATTTGCATAAATACGTAGTTCGTTTTTCTTAGGACGATGGTAGTACTGTTTTACTTAGCGTTTGTAGTGTTATAGTGTCCTCAGTGCCCGCAGAAGCCGTCAAATTCGACATTATTTCTGGCAGCACTATTGCCTACCATGACGAGCAAGCAACAAGCGTCCATTAGAAGCGAGCGCTTGTGCGGTGGCTTTCAGCATCCGTCCAACATATTTTCGGTGGTTCCTATGGAGGCTTAGCATGATAATGATAGGAAGTACCAGTAGCCAGTAGCCTTTCTCTCTAGGGGTCATTAGACTATAACGGCGTATGCCGAAGGGAGCTTACTAAGGGGGCATTTCCAAATTTATATGTGCACTTTCCGAATTCGGCATATCGTCGTGTACGTACAAGCTGACTTCGTTCATTCAATGACCTCGATGTTATCGTGGGGGAAACGGAGAGTATTATTCACCGACCCTAGTATTCTATGATACGCACCCTTTGTTTTTGTACGAGCTGGCACCCTCCCGGTGAGTAATCTCGCTATCCGTATGAGGACAGTCGACCATGCGGCGTCATCGAGTCCGCGCCCCAAAATCACTCAGCTTACCCTACCAGATGAGCCTCAAACGGCATATCGTTTACGTGGCGTGATCAGTACGGTGCGAAGTTGTCCATCCTGGAGATAGTATACCCCGTTGGTATCATCTGCATTGCCTCGTCAATACCCCCGGTCCGCGACCATTCTTCATCACATGGATCAACATGCATGATTCTTAGGCTTCTTTGCCGCTGCTAAGGGTATAATAAGAACAGAGGAGTGCTCTATGAGGTTTCAGCCTTCAAGCTGACCGCCTCCAATTCGCCTCGGTAGTTCACCTAGCTCGTTGAGGGGCTAGCTTCTCCCTTCCTTCCATGCCAACCAAATGCATATCTATTGGGGAGAAGGAAAGCCCAATTTCACCACACTCTGAAGAGGTCATTTCCCCCACTTCAGAGAAGGTCTATGGTGAAGGGGAATGCGCAAGCAATGATGGAGATGCAATCTTCGTCAAAGGAGAGCCAGTAATTGCCACGGGAAGGGATGTCTCATTCTATCTAGTTGATCCGCGGGATGACGGTGACCCTGCCTTGACCTTCCGCTCGCTTTTTATCGGCACCATATTTGCATGTCTTGGAGCGGCCCTTTGCCAGGCAAGTGCTGTTCGTTGCTTCGGATGTCAGCTTTGACGTTCGTGTTTGCAACAGATATACGCATTTAAGCCCGTCCAAGTGTCGGTATCAACTGTCTTCCTTTTGTTGCTCATCTACAGCGTGGGTTTGGCCTGGGCTAAGTTTATTCCCCGGCGCTCTTCTGTCGAAGGGACGCGATTTGAGAGGCTCGGACCTATTCTCGAGTTCTTCAATCCTGGTGACTTCAAAATCAAAGAAGTGTGTGATTAATCGCAGCCATTGAGCAACCTTCTGATCCGGACTCTCTAGCACGCTATTGCCACCCTGGTCGCATCCACTGCGGCCCAGGGCAATACTGCTGTACTTAACTTCGCAGTTCAGCGTGTAAGTATGAGTGCTATTGCCACCTTCGTCCCGTGCCAACCCATTTCCCATACCAGCTGTATTACAACACTGACGTGAATGCAATTACCGCGGTTCTTGCCACGTTCTCCACATCCTGCTTTGGGTGAGCACAACTCGAGTGTCATGATGGGTAGCTAAATGTTAATGGATATTAGATACGGACTCTGTGGGCTACTGCGACCCCTGACCGTCTATCCAAGTGAAATGGTTTATTGGTTGGTATGTCTTAACTATTTCAAGAAGAAGTAATGATCGCTGAGGTGACCCATACAGAACCTACCTACTGTTACCATCTTCCAATGTTTGTTGCGTTTGGTTCGTCGCCCAGCCGAACGATCTGACGATCCATTCTTCCAGCACTCCATTTCGATTCTACGGCCAACCGCAAGCGCATGAAGCTGTTCTGGCTCGCTTTCGCAGGCATGTTCATATGGGAAATCTTCCCGTCCTACATCTTTCCGCTCCTGAATGGCATCAGTGTACTTTGCCTCGCTTCTCAGCATGCCAACCCATCTATCCAGAACATGTTTACAAACATATTCGGTGGCACAGACGGTAATGAGGGTTTGGGTCTCCTGAGCATTTCGCTCGACTGGCAGTATATTACATCGTAAGTGTTCTTTTGAGGCATGGAGGGTTTTTGTACCTCACGTGTTGGCAGAGCGTACTTGAGTTTGCCATTGATCCAGCAAGGTAGCCCGCTGTTCTTATATCCATGTTTACCCAGCTCATGGTCGGTCAGCGAATTGTTGGGTTGGATATGCACTGTGTTACATCATCTTAGCCGTCATCTACTATTCCAATGTCTGGAACGTCAGTTAACATTCTGAAAGCTATCCCTTTCACTAACATCCAGTTGTGCAGTCTTTGACTTTCCCGATGCTGTCCACATCGATATTCTCCTCCAATGGATCCGTCTACGATCAGTTAACTGTGTTCGGCAGTACTTCCCAATTGAATCAAACAGCTTTGAATGAAGTCGGTTTGCCTTACATGGCCGGTTCGAATGTGTGGGCTAACATCACGGCAAACTTATCTGTGAGCACTTCTGCCAATACATCCATTTTGCGTGCCTGAAGGTATCTAAGATTGGTGGTTTGTTGGCACATTGCATATGTTTCTGGGGACCATACTTGAGGGACACTCTTCGGAATACGCATTCTGACATACAATCCGATCCACACTGGAAAGTAGGTAGATTCTTCTTGTCTGTAGCGAACCTTCGCCTCATTGTATTGTTCAATATGTGCCACCCAGGCTATGCAAAGGTACAAGGAAGCGCCATTCTGGTGGTATATCGGACTCCTTGTTCTGGCGTTCTTCAGCGGTAATTCCTATCACGAACAACTTCAACTTTCCTGACACAACTGAGCTCATTTCTCAGCGCTTATTGTGATATTTAAGGGACAAACGACCCTTCCCTGGTATTCTTATATAGTCGCGTTACTACTTGGAAGTACGCCATTCCCCGCTATCGTCTGCAAAAGACTCACCTGTTTTTGTCAGCTTTCGTTACGCCCTTCTCCCAGCTGCTCTTTGCCCGCATGGGTAATGGAATCGCCACCAACCAACTGATGAAGATGGTTGGAGGTGCAATAGCCCCTGGTCGCCCAGTTGCCAATCTCTACGTCTGTGCTCATTTCTTGTGGCTCCACTATATTGTTAACAGTTCCTTATTGTTAGTTTTCCATGTGGAGTCACGATGTCATTTCACAGTCCGTCGGGCTTCGCTGGTGACCTTAAGATCGGTCAATACCTGAAAATCCCCCCACGGGTCATGTTCCTTACACAAGTTTGGGGCACTATTCTAGGTACGGATGTTTTGAGACGTGAAGGTCCAAAGTAAGCCTAACGGTCTCCACATAGGAGCAGCTATCAACTACGGTAAGTTTTTTCCCTACAGTTCTGCTGAAAGATCTTATCCTCACTTGAACCTGCCATAGTTGTGATGGTTTCAATCGTGAATGCACAACGAACCATCTTGGTCGACCCAAATGGCACCAACGTCTGGAGCGGCCAAGTAGTGCAGCTTCTCAATACTGACGCTATAACTTGGTCACTTGCGAAAGAATTGTATGGCCCTGGTGGACGATACTTCATTGTGCCGTTGAGTTTGCTTATTGGCGTCGTGCCTACTGTTATTCAGTGGTTTGTTGCGAAGGTTCGTAGCATTTCAGGGTTTAAAGCGGTTGTCCGACCTGAAAACGCCATAGCGATGGCCTACTATTGGACCAGTCAAGGTCGACAGCATCATTTTGCCTATCATATACATGGTGAGTCATGTTGTCCTTCGGGTGGAAGTAGTGGCCAGTTACGAAATGTCCCCACAGTGCTCTGCGATAATGTCATCCGGCACGAATTCCACGATCACCTCTAGCATCATCGTTGGCCTCGTCTCACAGTTTTGGCTGAGAAAATATCATCCGGGCTGGTTCAGGAAGTATAATTACATCCTGGGAGGTGCTCTAGATGGAGGAGCACAAGTGATGATTTTCATTCTGTCGTTTGCTGTCTTCGGCGCGTCTGGCGTACCAAGACCTTTCCCTGCGGTGAGTGAACTAATTGCTGGCCTCCTGCTGCAATAGAACTCATTAGCTCGCTATCCCCACAGTGGGCTGGCAACCCCGCAAAGGGGAACGTAGATTATTGCAATGGAAACGGTGCGCTCTCTTGAGGTATCTATATACTTTGCGGTTTCGGTCTGTTATGTTGGTTTGGGGCATCCATCTGATGGTTGAATGGGGTATTACGTGTATGACGCTTGTTAATGGCCAATGGTTTAGGGATCGCTTGTGCGTGCCGTTGGTCGGTACACCGGCGCAACGAGTGTTGCCGTGGGATGACAAAGCCCTAGTAGTAGACTATTGATAAAAGATCCAGTTCATCAAGTGCGACCGTGTAATATGTTGCTATTGGAGTCTAGTATGTATTCTACTATCGGGTGGTACACTTCAATCCGCCTCGGATTGAGTGCGGTTCGACAACACCTTCCATCAGTCCAGGTGGACCGAACACGGCTCTATAGATTTCAAGGCCTGCCCACGAACATAAAACGAGTACCATCGATATATAAAAAACTGTCTCATGAGGTTATAAAATGCGTTACTAGTTTACTGTTCTTTCTTCTCTACGGCAGCCTCAGCCGCCACTCTAGCTTCCTCCGCCCGTCTAGCTTCCCTCCTCTCGCGCCCGCGAGTGATCAGCGCCTTAGGCTCAAGATCTGCAAACAGGTACTTGCACAACTTCTCTACCACCCAACAGCCGACAAAGTCGGCGATCATAACGCTCGTCAATTTGATTCTAAACTGTTTAAGCGTAGCGGCGAGGTTAATGTGTTGACGCGGAGGTGATGGATAGGAAATTTTCGACCTACCAGGCTGTCCATTTCAACTATCTGGAGCCATCGGTTCAATTCAGGGAAGAAATCCGTCGAGCCGGAGAATGCGACCGTGCTTGCTCCAACAAGACCCCAGTAGAGTTTAGAGTTTTCACGGATTCCTTCACGGAATGGACGACCCTACCGCACGAGAATGTCAAAAAACCTAATCCCATAAATTAACTACCGAAACTCCTACCTGGAAGTTGATGGCAAACGTCGATACTTGTTGTGAAAGTCCCAAAAGATAGATAGCCGTGTTGAGCAAACTGGGCTCAAATTTGGCGTCCAAGTCGATGACACCAGGACTGGTCCGCCAGGTTAGCCATCACCTCTAGAGAGATAAGATGCGAGCGAACGGCGACTTACGGTTCGTAAAAGTGCGCAAGGTTGGTAATGTACACCATGGACACGATATGCAGAGCAAACTGGATCAATACCGACAAGAGGACGTAAAGGTTGAAGATATTCCCAAGTGGGCGTTCCCGAGATAACTTCTCGACCGGCTACACATCTTCGGTTAGGGGTTTCAAAACACGAAATTTGGCAGCTGCTTACCTGAGCCCGGGAGATGCAAAGGAAACAAACGGACATCAACATGCCACTGACAGTAACCTGGTAATCGCCAAATTTGATACCATCGAGGTACTGCACGCTTAGACTGTATGCAGTGATCAAGCAATTCAGCGCTAAGATCTTGTACATCTGAATCGTTGCCACGAGTGTGCACCGTCCTTGCCTGATGATATGAGTGACTAGACGAGGTTAGCTAATGCCCCACTGCTAGTTATCGTTGAACGACACTCACTTGCAGAAACATGAGAGAGCTTCGACGTAAATGGCGCCGCACACGATGCATCACCAAGTTTGATCTGAGGTACATCCTCGTCACCTTCCATGTTCGCCAAAGCATCCGTAATGGAACCCATGTCAAACTAAAGCGCACATTAAATCATCAGCAGTGGTCCAATATCCCAAACCTTGATATACCTTCTCCATCGGATTCTTCTTCCGTGCAGCCTGTAGGTCAGCAGCAGCTTTCTTGTGAGCCTCTACGACATCGGGATACAAGTGCGCGATGGCAGGAGGGACCGGAGGCGGAGGGCTTCCAAAGCGAGTAGACAATCTGAGTTGCGTCTCGTACACCTTTTTGATCCGCTCAATCTTCTGGTGCTCAGCGATCTTTTGCAAATCTTCGGGCGTCCCGTCCAAGAGAGCGACACCTATATGCGCCTGTTTGAGTGCACCGACGTCGTTGGTACCGTCGCCAGCCATGAGAGTGTTGTAACCAAGACCCTTCAAACTTGTAAGGATGTACTCTTTCTGGGCGGGAGACACGCGAGCGTAGACCCAGGTGTTCTGAACGAGATCGTTCCAGCTATCCGTACCCTGGAACTGCTTCATAGCAGCACCAGTGATACAGATATCATACTGGTCGAAAAGGGACGTATCTACAGGCTGAGAGGGGTCAACAGGAATGATCTTGCTCTCGTCCACAGTACGCCAGACGATATCTACAAAAGGGATAAGTACGAAGGGAAGCTGTGAATTCATTTACCTACCTCTTTCGTTGGCAGGGTTCTCCTTGAGATCTAATATCAAGACATCTCGATCAACAATCTCGACGTCGCGCGCAACATGCGCAGCAGTGAGGGGATTATCTCCAGTTATCATGATGCACTATTGGATTGGCTGAGACCCATAACGCCGCAAGGAAGCAGGCACTTACGCGATGTGAAGAGTCAGCCAACATCTTGAGAGTCTGCACAGCATCCGGTTTGAGAGGGCAGTGGAAAACCAGGAACCCAGCAAATGTTAATTTGCTCTCCACATCTTCTCTCGCCAACTTGTTAATCTGTCATTTACCAGCTCCGTCAGCAAAGCCAGGCATTCAACACACGCAACGGTCGTACTCTGTCGATGGACATCGGTTCAATTTCCTTCGTACCAAGTGCAAGAACGCGGCTTCCGCGTCTGCTATACCACTTATACGTCTCATCATACCATTCAGGCACTTCAGCAAGCATCGCCTTGATAGTCTCAGGAGCACCTTTCACTGAAACCAGTGTCTTACTACTCGGGAGAGTAGATACAGTCGACATCCGCTTGAGTGCGGAGGAGAACTGGAAGCGACGACGAATGTACAGCTTAGACGCCACAGGGGCCTTGTTGGACGAGGGAGCCACGGAATCGCCTACATTAAATCAGTGACTGTAGTCAGGGGGGATCAGAACAAGTACAGACCTTGGGAAATTTTCCAGTCGAGAGCCTCCAGGGTCGTCTTCTCCATGGGATCTCCGACGATAGTACCATCATCAAGGCGTACCAGGGCATGCGCAGCTGCCAAGCACAATGTCGTCTGCTTTCCAGATTCCTTGACATCAACCAACTTGAGCTTATCAGTTTCGCTGCGGCACGTGTAAACAGGGAGATCATAAACGAGGCATGCAATATACTCACTCGACGCCCACAATTCCTTCTAGAACCAGGTTTTCCGCAGTAATCGTACCTGTTTTATCGAAGCAGCAAACGTCAACCCGTCCAGCAATCGGAATGCGAAAGGGTTCAGTGCAGAATATAGCTATCATTCCCTTGAGTTGCAGTATAGACGGAAGAGGAATTCATACACACCGAATTTGGACAGGGCAACAAGGGATGCATTGACTGCCAATGAAAGCTCCATTGGGAGTTCGGGAGGTACGACACTCGTGATGATAAGAACACAGTCGAGAAGGAGCTTGGACTTCTTCAAATTCCTCTCAATACCTTAATACGAAGTGAGGATATAACGCGTGAGGTAACGATCACGTGGCCTACCTTTGACCCACACATACCAGCTGGCGGCAATAGCGAAGATCAGAAGAAAACCGATGAAAAGGAAAGACTCTAGGTTGTTTGCAGAAACACGCTCGGTGGAGAATATCATCGTTCGAACCAGTTGACCCTGGGCTGTACCAAAACCAGTACGTAAGACTACACCGAGACATCCGCCGTCAGGAGTGCCAGCAGATACTTGACCCTGACCTGCGCCGTGTGAGCTTCGAATTCAGGTAGGATCAACCCAGATCAACTTACTTGTGGGGCTCGCCTGAAGTACCTTGGTGCCACTGAACAATACTGCATTCTTGTGTGCACCGTCTACGTCAAGTTTCTCTGAATTGTCTAATAGCTGTATCGATTCCTTGAGCAGAGGTGTTGACTCTCCGGAAAGCATCGCCTCGTTAACAATGCATGTACCGTGAACGAGAAGAATGTCTGCTGGCACCACCGTTTCCGACTGTAGACGAGCTGCGAAATGGTTCAGACAGGCAAGACGTAGAATACCTATCAAGTACTGACCGACCGACACGATGTCACCTGGTAAAAGTTCGTCCGTCTGGAGCGTAATCCATTTGGAATCTCGGAGGCACTGGATGGGATACGGTGCGACAGACATCGTCCTGAACTCTGTCAGCGTTTTCACCCGCTTAAGGGATTGTTGTCGATCAGCATCTCCAATGGTAGTGACTGCCCACGTACCTGCCAGACGACTGTGCACTCGAACATGACAAGCATGAACAATGTGAACAGACTGTAATACCAATATTCGTCGAGACACCACAGCGCAACACAGAATACCTGGAATACGAAGAAGGGAGCTGTGGCATGTTCACCGAATAATTCAGAGAACGAGGGTATGGGGATATTAAACTCGTTCTTTCCATATAGTGATTTTAGTGCAGGAACCTGGTGGGTCGCGAGACCAGAAGGCGCGAGGAAATCAGACAATGGGGGACGATGAGTTGAGGGATAGGGTAAGCGCATAAATGTAATCGGAGAGATTTTGGATGCAACGTATGTGTCTCGCTGATAGTTGAAGGAGTATGTCATTAATTTAGTTTTGATCCGCTTTACCAACGGGACGATTTCGCCTTGACCGCGGTGTGGGAGAGGAATGAGACGAATGCAGTCAGCCTCCTCTACAGAACTAGCCTATAGTGAATGTCCGTGAGTTGCCCGAGGAAAAGAGAAGGGTGCAATTACCGGCCGTGTGGTTATCCATGTCTTCGCAGCAGCACTCCATCGAGTGACCAAAAAACTGAGTGCATGACCAGCACCCAACAGTACGCAAAACAAAAAAGTCCATTCCTCACTCTTGATCCAGTCGTCGTACCTGACATAGTATGCATAGGCAAGCAGCGGATAGAGGGAGAGAAACGGAAGTGTGTAAACGTGCGTGTACCACGGAAGGGCTACGTGCAAAGTTGCACGAGCGATTTCCTGAGATTCCACTTCAACGGGTACCCTGAAATGCACCCCGTCAAGCATACCGTACACGTTCGACGCAATGGTAGGACTTACATGGCGCACACTGATACCACGTAGGGTCCGTGGGTGCCAAAAACGGACAGAAATATAAACCACTGTCACCAGTCGTGGATCTGTCGTTACGATACACCAATGTAATCCGGTACAATGGACCCCAAACTGAGCTTACAATGGTCTTAATAGCTCTGGGGGCCAATTGCGTGCTTGTCGGGGAGACACTGACGAAGCGCGGCAAAAAAAGAGTGGTGTTGATGAGTCAGCAGGTCTGGCCCAGAAGGGAACAAAGTGTGGGCACGGCTGAACGGCTACTCAAGCCAAGCTAGGACGGTTTGATAATTTAACGTTTTCATTCATACCGCGCCGCCCATGGCACAGCACCAGAACGTTGGTTTATTCAGATGGAAATACTTCCTTCGTGTGCGCCCCACTGCTTTCCACGGATACAAGCTTGAAAGCTCCCCGGATATAAGTGTAGCCAAGGGAGCTAGTGCAACCGAGCCTAGTACCTTCTTATCGCGATGTCCTCCACTCCCCACCATAGCAGTACCCTCGACGATAAGAAGGACGACCTCAGAGTGGACGTTCTGCGGGCTGGAACTCAAGATATCTATTCGGGGGAATCCTTAGATCCTGTGTACCATGCAAAGGCGAAGATCCTAAACGATGCTATCCAAGAAATAGGCATGGGGAAGTACCAAGTATATACCCATCCATCCGTACATCCTGTCGCAATAGTTGATCAAGGTTGATCATCGGTTCACAGCGGTGGCTATTTTTTATCGTCGGATTCGGTTGGTTTTCGTGAGTTTTTTCGGCTTCTTCATCAACGGACCACGTTTTGACCCTCCGATAAGGGATAATCTGTGGCCGGTAGGTGTTGTCAGATCAATGATATCAGCTGTGGCACACTCAACCTTGCGTTGTATCTCAAGTCCACTCTCGGCTTGATTTACACTTCGGTAACACGGGAGTTCAACGTCCTCGGAGAATGGATGCTACTCGGACAGTCGCTTGGTCTGCTCGTCGGAGCAGTCTTCTGGGGCGTCGGTTGCGACGTCTGGGGTCGGAGGTCAATGCTATCTGTTGCGTTGGAACCGTTGTCTCACACACTACAGGTGGTCCTTCAACCTTACTCTCCTCATAACGGGTGTTTTTGCCCTCGCTGCTGGTGCATCCCCTAACTACTACACATTGTGTGTATGCATGACTTTTTGGTCTATCGGCGTCGGGGGAAACCTCCCTGTCGATTCCGCTGTCTTTCTTGGTACGTGACGCACTTGTTAATCTATCATGGGGACCCAAGGTCAGCCTGGACGTAGAATATATTCCCGCTTCTCATCAATACCTGCTGACGGTGCTCTCCATCTGGTGGGCGATCGGTCAGCTCACCGGCGCCTTGGTATGTTTCAGTGGCATTGCAGTGTCCTGGTCTATGGCTGATCCAGGTTACAAGGTCGCATGGCCACTGATCAGCAACTTCTCTTGTCCAACTACCTCGACAACCTGCCCCTCGTCGTTGAACAAAGGGTGGCGCTACTTCCTCTTCACCATGGGCGGGGTCATGATAGTCATGTGGATTCTCCGGTTCTTCGTATTCAATCTACAAGAGAGCCCAAAGTTCCTTATGAGTCGTGGGAGGGACGAGGAAGCAGTTGCAGTCGTGCACAAAGTGGCTGCTTTCAACGGGAAAACGAGTAACTTGACGATCGAAGATCTCAAGGAAGCCGAAAGGCTCTTTGGATCTCCCCGAGGCGAGGCTGCAATGGCAACGTCCGCGGGGGCCGCTGTGGCGAGGAAGATCAAGACGCTCGACAGGAGTCACGTTAAGCCACTGTTTGCGACACGAAAACTGGCTTACTCGACGTGTCTGCTGATTGTTTTGTGGGGTTTGTCCTGCTCATTTCAAGTGGAGATACGTGACTGACCGTAAGTGTTTTAGCTTTGATTGGACTGGCGTTCCCTCTGTAAGTCGTCTACGCTGTGTCTAGTCCTAGTCTCATTCTCTCACAGGTACAACGCTTTCGTGACTTACTAGTGAGTTTCCGCTGCCCGAGTCGCTGAGACCAAAAATTGAAGAATCACCATCAGTCTAGAAACACGAGGATCAGCTGTCGGACAAACTTCGATCTATACTACTTACCGTAATGTGCGTCCCCCAGTACGTTGCATATACAAGTGTTGACGGACCGATAGGAAGTCATCTTGAGTGTTATCGGTGTACCCGGGGCACTAATGGCAGGTTACCTCGTCGAAGTCCCGATCCTCGGACGGCGTGGCACCCTCGCCATCTTCACTGGTATGTCCGTCTCTTCGACAACGTTGAACGTCCGCTCAACGCGATTGTGCATGACCCTGCAGTCCTCACTGGTGTCTTCATCCTCGCATCAACAACTGCTAGAACGTCCAACACGTACCTTGCATGGAATTGTGGATACAGCTATACCAGCAACGTGATGTACGGCGTCTTGTACGCCCTCTCTCCCGAGCTATTCCCAACCAAAACCAGGGGGACAGGAAACGCCATCGTCGCCACTGCAAATCGTGTCTTTGGTTTGATGGTGAGTGTGCAAGTCCGCGAAATCCGTTCACGGTTGATGATACGGTTTTTAAAAACCCAGGCGCCAATCATCGCGATGGAGACAAGCATCACAACGTCCATCCCGATATGGGTCGCTGGAGGGATATTCGTTGCAGCTGGTTTTATTGCATTGTTGTTACCCTTTGAACCCCGCGGCAAAGCATCTCTGTAAAATAACAATGTAGCTTAGATACCTCGCCCTCGAGTCCCGTACATAGAATAATATGAAGACATGCACTCCCAATCTTATCTAAGCCCCTGTGACTAAGCCACCGCGATATATGTGATCGAGAATTTTACCAGACCATCGATCATAAATCCTACGCCTATCTATCTAACGATGGAGTTTATCCCGGGACCTGCAGTAACCCGCGTTCTCTGTGCCGATTGTGGTAAGCTTGCACAGACTCGTGACGACGAGTACTCACTGCCGGGAATTAGGAACACCGATCGTACCCAATTCTGCTAACCTGTGCGTGGCCTGTCTGAGGAATACGTGAGCGTCGCACTTTGGCACTCCGAGACGGACATGTGGGTGACTGATAAAATATTCCTGTGTGAAGCGTCGATATCACAGAGGGCATCCCGAAACAGTGTACGTTGCACACAGCTCCGCCACTTCCATCGCTCTCACGCGACGCGGCGGCGAAAGTTTCGAGTTCCTTTGACTAACTCTCCGCTAGCGTCCGTATCGTTTTGTAGAAATTGCGAACGATTTTTGTCTCCGCCTCAAGCATGGATATTGGCGCGACCGGAATCTCAGGAATTACTCGCCCTATGTCTCAAGAGACTCAAGGGACTTAACAAAGTGCGACTGACGGAAGCACATTTTATATGGACAGAACCCCACTCGAGGAGATTGCGAGTATCATTAACGATTCAAAAGGAGGTGCGCGAATCCTGCGCACGCATACTACGTATTCATGCCTCCACACATCTGTTTGACATTTGCAGGTATTAACCTCTACAATCCTCGAACAAGTCTTCGAAATCGAATACCTAGTACACAACACCCAATGTTCCGACTGCGCCCGACTCGCAGCGAAAAATACATGGAAAGCGCTTGTCCAAGTTCGACAAAAGGTCTCTCACAAACGGACGTTCCTGTTTCTGGAACAGTTGATACTCAAGCACGGCGCTCAAAAGGATACGATATCCGTCAAGGAAGTCAGGGATGGGCTGGATTTCTTTTACAGTCAGCGCAGTCACGCCATCAAGATGGTGGAGTTTTTGAACGGGGTCGTCCCGGTGCGGTAGGTGGTAATAAGATAATGGTATGTTAAACGTTTGGTTGATCATGGCGTAGGTCCAAAAACTCGGAACAGCTCCTTTCCACGGATACACACTCGAACACTGCGAATTACAAGTTCACATATTCAGTCGAGATCGCCCCAATCTGTAAGGACGACCTCGTCTGCATCCCATTCAAACAAGCACGCACCCTCTCCAACATCTCCCCGCTAACGATATGTACACGCGTCGGCGCGTCTTTCCAACTCCTGGATGTCAGTACATTACAATCCGTCGAAATTAGCAGCCAGATCTTCTGGCGCTCGCCGTTCTCCGCGTTGGCTGGTGTAACTGACTTGGTGGAATTCACGGTACTGGACGTTGAACCCGTCGGAACGTCTCGCGGCCGATGGGTCCTCGCCGACGCACAAGTCGCACTCGCTGGCGCGTTCAGGTCCCATACGGGGACCCACACGAATAGCGAGATGGAGATGGACTACGAAACAGCCGCGGAATCGACGCAGATTTTCCATACGCGCACCCATTTAGGCGCGATCTTGCAGCCTGGGGATACGGCAATGGGGTATCACCTGTCGTCGTCGAACTTCAATTCAGACGATTTTGCCAAATTACCTGCAGATCGGATTCCAGACATCATACTGGTCAAGAAAGCGTATCCAAATCGACGGAAGAAGGGCAAGGCTAGGAATTGGAAGTTGCGCAGTATTGCCAAAGAGGAGGGCGAGGAAGGTGAGACAGGCGGTGGGCGTGGTGTGGTTGGTAGAACGGGTGGTCGCGATCAGAAGAAGGTTGACGAGGATTACGAGCTATTCTTGAGAGATCTGGAAGAAGACCCGGAGTTGAGAGGAGCGGTGAATCTGTACAAGGCGGAGGATGTCAAGGTGAAGGAGGGTCGTGATGTGGGCCAGAGACGGCGCAAAGGCCAGTATGGCATGGACGTAGATGAAGTAGCACCCGATGCGGAAGAAACGACGGCGAACGGTGAGGAAGAGGAGGAAGAACCTGATTTCCCCGAAGTGGGGCTGGACGAGCTGTTGGAGGACTTTGACGAGATGACTTTACAAGACGCTGCGTAGGTGTGGCCAGACACAGACATTTCAGGCCTCGATAGCTTCGGCACTTGTATTCGTTGGATCGGATTAGCAGTGTCTACTGGCCATAGCGTGGAGTCCTGTAAATTCCGTACATTAATGTTACAAACCGCCAGGATATTACGTCGATTCCGTACACGAAGAAGGGATAAATGTGAAGAAAAACATGTGCGTGAAGCCAATCATCAGTCCACGGACTCATCCAGTTCTGGTTCGTAAGCAGTACACCCAACAGCCTCCAAAAACCTAGCCCGCTCCTCTTCCCTGCGACACACTAAGCTATTAGGACCCATGCATTTCCCGGCGGGACATCCGGAGCTATAATTCGGCCCTCCCACGGAGGCGCCGAGAGAGGAGGGATCGGCAAGGCATGGTTTAGAAATGTCACGACGGAGAGTTGGCGTTAATGGCGGAAGGGTAGCAGGATCTGATGCGTAGTTATAGATGTGGACTCGTTGTGACGACGACAGCGTGGGCGCGAATTGAGATAGAATGCACAGCTTGAGTTCGTTTGGGAGCGCGACGAACCCCATGGTCAGTGTTGAGGGAGGGCTAGAAGATGGGTGCGAAAGTACTAAAGAGGCCGAAGATGTGGACGACCTGGAGCGCATGAGCAGAGGTCGGGCGTATTTGAGCAAATTCAATGCTTCCTTCTCCACTCTTCGTTTCCAATATTGGTTGCGCATCGTGATCCTATGCAGTGCGCGATCACAATCTTTCCAAGCTTCGTCTGTATCCGAAGCGGCAAGTGATCCATCCGGCAAAAGCTTGTCCGGAGATGAAGGAGGTGATGAGGGAGGTAATGAAGGGGGGAATGAAGGGAGAGGAGCATCTGGCAGCCGATTGGCGTACACTTCAACTTTGGTTAGAGCCCAGTTCCCCCTTTCAATCGCTCGTAATATTTCCGATACACCTCTCGCACCGAGACTGTTCCCGCTACATTTAAGCGTTTGAAGATGGCACACACCCTGAGAGCTTCTAGCTCTACTCCCTATTATCCAAGTCGCAATCACAGGTGCACTTCGAGGTGTAAGACCGATAGTATTGATATGTAGTTCTTGTAGGGATCGTGATCGGAGGAGAGGGAGAAAACGTTCCACGAAGGAGTCGCCAAGTCGTGAATTACCTGTTAATGATAGTAGGCGTAATCTTGAATTGTTCAATGCGTTGGCGAGGCAAGAAAGCGTGGCGGGATCTGGTGTGAAATCGTTCTTGATGAATAGATATGTCCGTCAGAAATGAACCCCTTTAAGGTCAAGGAGGAAACACAACCTCGCTCACATTAGTTAACCACAACGTTCTTAAGACATCATTTCCGCGGACGTATTCAGCGATAGCTTGCAGTCCTTTACAACCGATCCCGTTGCCTGTGAGGCTGATGTCGGTCAGAGTGGCTCGATGTTTCGATCCCTCCGACGAAGAAAGGTAGGCAAATAGTTGACATATTCCATCGTCACCGAGCGAATTGTGATTCAGGGACATCTTGATGACCCCATTGCGATAGGAGTTCAGTAGCGGAATAACCTTTTGAGCGCCTGCAGCGAATTGCATCAGACGCGTCAACATCGTACCGGGAATCCGAAAAATACGGTGAGACTCACCTGAAATGCCATGGAGGCCCTCCTCTGAGTGATTGAACTGTAAACGGCTAGAGAGTGGAATGGCAGGTCTTGGCATGGTCAAGGGGTGTCCTGGAGTACAGATAGGCTTCGTTTGCAACAGGCATTCCATCTGGTGATCTGGGTTGTCCAAAACAAAATCAATTGTGACGCTCGCCACCAATCTGAACGACTTACGCTCACCCCCACTGCGCGACGACTGCGTTAAGCCGGCCTGGGTGGTCGATGGCGACGACATACGGCGAAGTCCAATGATTTACGTAACGAGTAAGAGTCAAAAAGCTGTACTCGTTGACTTATGCATAGGTCGATCATGACTTGGTACATCTACGTACACTAAAGATTATCCATCTCACGCTGTCAGGCTGTGGATTCCAGACCGCCTTACCTCGTGCACTTTCCGTGCTGATGGTGAAAAATTCATCATTCGCCACCGGGTGTGGTCAATCATTTGTCCGATTCCGGTGGTCTCCTACTCAGGACGCAGAGGTGATACGGTGCGCAGTTCAATTAAATTCATTCCAGGTGTTATGTTCTTGGTTATTCACTGCCTAGAGGGCTGGTATCAGCTACAGTCTGGTGCGCGCTCGCCGACAACGTGTTAAGGATGTCTTCAAGGTATAAATGCGTATCTCCGGGTAAGTGGTTCGTTAACAAGCCCATTCTTTCCCTCGAGACCCGTGTGGTAGAAAAGAAGACCCACGATGGTCATGTCATTCCATGGCGACTTCCGCAGGCTTTAACAGATTATGCGAAACGTGTACCGCTTTCCTGGAGGAATCACGGAAAGGATGGCATATGCAATGTGTTGCTTCTGGGATAACTGTATCTGCAGTTCTGAAATGCTACCATTCATGACCACCAGAAGCACGACTGGCGAGTCATTTCAGGCGTCTTCGACTTTTTTTTCTGCGCGCAAGCAAACCCGCAGCATTCTGGGACCATGGCGTCCAGGTGGAAGCAATGGAGCATGTCAATATTTTCGTGAGCTGCTGATAATAATCCTGTCGCCTTGATTTTTTCGTTGACGATGGTCAGCCTTGCCCAACCGCGGCGTGATATCGGTTCAGCCGTTCCTTTCACTCTGGCCTGCTGATGCCCGGTCACCGGTCACCGCCGGTAACGTTGGCAATATTGTTCCAAACCATCAAATACGCCAGGAACGGAACTCCCTTGAGCGAGTTTCTTTATATTTGATTGGGTCGCTTGATCATCTCTTGCAGGTTCTTGAGAGGCTCCACCGGCTCCGAAGTGTTCCGGTTGTATACAGTCTGGGGGAGTGAGTGCAGCACCTTCGATATTTCCGACATCGCTGGTGTCGAGAAACCTCTACGAGAAGATCTTTCGTGGCGTGATCTCATCACACACGCAAGACACAAGTTGGCAGCGTGTTCCTCGTGAACGTTGCACCACATCAAATGTATCAATACCTGCAACGGAGTACCGAGTTGTTGGAGGTAAGTGAACATCGCAGTGGTAACTGCAAAATAGAGCACCTCTTTCATTCCCATATTTGGCCTTGACATACTGAATCCCCACAGTATCCGTGGCTCATCTCACCTATCAGGATGGGAGAGCCTAAATGTCCCAACCATCGGGAAAGCGTCGTCGTCGTCTTCGTCAGATCATGCCTCCCGACGTCTCGCTCTCGCGATGCTTCCACCTGGTATCCTTGTGAACTTTCTGTTCAGGATGTGGAGATATCCAGGGTCCTTTCTAATCGCAACGACATTTATGTCACCGAACAGAACCCTTGCCAAGAGGTTCTATGTTTGTGCATCGTACGAACTGGACCAATATTCCAGTTCTGTATATATTCAAAAAACAGTCGTAACTCGTAACTGTAAGGGAGGAAATACGGAAACGCAAGGTAACGAAACGAATGTCGGACAATATCGAAAGCAAGAGAAGGAGCGCGGCAAACAAATGGCAGAATTAACTTACACGAGTACAAGGGAGCGTGGGTAGCGTGAGGCCAAATAGTTAAGAAGGAACAGAGATGCAAGAAAAAGGAAAGAGACAGACACCAATAGAAAATTAGACGAAGTCCGTAGGAGAAGGTATCATTGCAGAGAACTGGAGTACAAATGCTGCCTCGTCCATTTGAATGCGTATTTCTCCCTGGAATATATATGAAGCAAGAAAATGCATGCCAAGCCCTATATAGCACCCCATCGATACCCTACCGCAGGGAACTTTCACTCAGCTTTGAACCGCGTCGGGTCCCCTCCACCGCGTATAATGACCTTCATGAAACTGAAGAAGCGATCGGCGTACTCGGCAGGTGGGACAGGACTGATCTTATGCTACAAGAGACGGTTAATGGGCCAAAACCGAGAAACGAGCAGCGAACTTACTCGATCAGCCGAAAGACCCTTCCAAAAGTGCTCCACTTTCTTCAATGACTTATACGGAGTTAAGATGTCAATGATCCCCAGGTAGTACAGCGTGTCCATGGGTTGATTGACCTCGTCTGTCGCTTGCAACCCACCTTCGTCCTGATAGAATATAAATTGCTGTCGATCCCCGGTATCTTCTTCAGGCAATTGAAGTGCCTCTGACCCCAATCGTCTTGGGTCAGATTCACGCATAGCGCGACGAATGGCTATAGCCTCAGGAGATCGCCCGCCTTTCACCGTACTCTTTCGACGAATTGAGGGAACAGACGGCTTGGGAAGGAAATGATGTCAAAGTTCGAGGCAGCTGACACCGGAAAAAAAGTCCTTACTGAAAACACTTTCAGCGTGTTACTTCGCACGTTCTCCCTATTCCCTCGCCGCATGTGGTGGATGCCTACTAAGAGACTGTAATCCATGACGTTGATACTCTTCAACAATTCTGAATCCCTGCGGAGTTGCTCAGTGAATAGGGCACGCTTCTCTGGCCCGAACTCCAGCGTCTTTCCGCGGTTAATCCAGTTGAGGTCCTTCAACACTGCACGGGGGTTCTTCATCGCCTTTTCTTCCGGATAAATTCGTCCGACGGTGCTGCCCTTGAGGTCATACGTCTCGTGTATGTCTTTGTGTGGAGGAAAGAGATTATTCATGATTACGAAATGGATTTTACGACCTCGGGGCAACTTCACGCGATGGAGGCCATAAAAGCGGGAGAGTAACGTATGTGGGTTGCTCTTCACGTGCGCATAATACTGCTTCAGCACTGAAAGAAGGAATTTATGCTCCGAATGGCGGATTGTCTTGATTATAAAGCGATAGTCTCGGGAGAAGTAGAAAAACGAGCCAGACTTTCCCGGTGAGCCTAACTCCGAGAGGATGTACTTGGCTGTCAAAGAGAGTAGATAGTCGGCAGGATCAAGCTGAAAGCAGTCTTCGCGAAGGTCGCGGAAAACCCATGGTGCATAATCCTTGAACTTGAAATCATACTTGGCGGAAGGTGTTAATTCGTTGCCGACTCTGATAAATAGCATGCGTTTTAAGCATGAGGCACGGACAACACACTGCAAATAGACATACATATCGAAAGAGTATTTATGTCGTGCGATGAAATCATCATCAGTAACTGGTCGTCTCATCTTTGCCTGACACCGCGATACCTAGCCAACCGACGGTGACGTGAGAACCATCAAGACTCGAGAAGGAACTGTAACGTACGGCGATGCGAATTCCTGTCAGCATATTGTACATGAGTACATAATTGACGTGGTCTTCCCCGATCAAGTTGCCAACCAGTGGGCGGTTGTCATCTTCCTTCGTGCTCGGAGGACCCCGCTGCGTCGAGACTGCGCGTGTTAACGCCTCGGCTTCTGCCTTGCGCTTCCTTTCTCGCCGTATTTGCTCCGCTTGTATCTGGATGTCGTCTTCGATTCCTCCATCTCCGTTGGAAGAGCCCGGCAGCGGTGCTGACCGTACGGTATGTATTACAGGACCCATCGTCGTATGACGTCTCGTAGAACGGCCAGACACGCTCTGTGGTGGCTGGAGGAACGTTCCTGAGGACTGTAAGAGGAGCTGTGTAGGTGGCGATCCAGATATATCAGTGACGGGTGTGTCTGCAGTGATAGCGCTTCCGTCTGACTGGGATGAGATGCGGGTTGCACGCGGGATAATGGTGACCCCAGCGCGTGAAGTGTGAACGGAAAACCTTGCAGTATCTGTGGAAGACCTCTGAGAGACCTCGTACGACTCAGTGGATGCTATAGGGAAAGCAGGGGGTGATAAACGTGCCAAGGAATACTCGGCATCGCGTGGTTCGGCGGATAACCTCCGCTCCCTGATGCGGGCCGTAAGGTCACTAGACACGGACGGCCGAGGGACGGGGTCAGACTTATGTCTGAGAAGAGTAGGCATGTCTGGAGGCTCGTCCTGCTCGACGCTCGCTGGCGGCGATGGTGGTGGTGGGCCAACAGGAGTGCCGTCTATCACCGAACTGTCATCCACATAGTCGTGTTTGATAACACGCGTAACCGTTTTGCTTGAGGTTTCGATAGTCGTCGATGAGACTAGGCTAGTTTCAAACACGACGGCTTGACTTGTAAGTTGAACAACGCGAACGTCGTCGGTATGGTCGATCTGCTTGCCGCCCCAGTTGGAGTTTTCTTCCTCTGGAGAGCTGAAGGCATTGAGAGTTTCTGTAATTGACGACCCCGACGGTGAAGTGAGTGGATTGGACGAAGTGGGTGTCGACGGAGAGGCTCTGGCTGTAAAGAAAGAGGCCGCGGTGGTCGACACAAAACTCTGCCTCTGAGAGTTGTCATAGACGGTTGGCGAAACCGGTGATGGTGAGCGCTGCGGAACCATGACTGGTGCAGGCGAGATGGTCGTGGTGGCCATTTCAACTCACGGAGTCTGAGCGAGCCTGGACTCCAGGAAAACAACCGAAAGCACGGGAAAACAGCGACCGCGATTGGATTTGAGCCCGTCCGTCGTCCAGAATCAAACAGTCCCGAAAATTTGTTGGACCAGTCGTTGTACAAGCTTGCGACCACCCAACTCGCCAGGTGGGGACTTTCAGCGAACGATGAGCTCACCGTGGGCGTGCTTATCCGACGCTCGCAGTGGCAGTGTGACGGCTACGCCCCTTCACCTACTTACCGGAGTCGGAGTCCAGTCGGCGTCCATCACATATGACCGCGTGGAAAGTGGAAACTCGGAGAAAATTCTGACAGCGTGTGCTGAATATTACTGAATTGCACTATACTAGAATGACGATACGTAGTTCCACTACAAGTAGAATGGTATCCCATACACCACCGGTGCTGCCCCAGTCAGGTACTTCAGCTTACATAATTGACGTGATTGGGCAACAGCCGCCACCACGGACGTCCCTGGCGGCTTCCCACCGTCAGCGCCGGAATGAGAAAGCACACCGTCAGGAGTAAGTCCGAGCCGGTCGACCACACCCTGCGTGAACTTGTCTATGTCCCGGTCGGTCACGTCCCACAAATTTGCGACCAGCGTTGGGCTGCAGTAGAGTTAGTCCCGCAGCTTACGAAATGCGGAGTTACGACGGATTACAGCCGTAGACGCCCTCCGGATAGGTTTAGGCTACTCACCATCCCGAAACCATATAATGATAGGGTGTTCCAACCCGGTCGAATTCCCCCATGTCTTTGAGGGAACCAGACGAACACCCCCAGAGCATGGTTGCTGCGCATCGAGGCAGGTGGCGGAGTTTGTGTGATCGTACGTATTGCTCGCCACCCCCGTGCCCGAAATAGCTGGGTTAGGGGAAGTGCAGTCAGCTCAGCCCTACAGGGAAGACACTGAACTACTTACATGACAAGGTCCTTTTGCGATAGAGCATTCAAGAACTGCTGTTCACTCGGAGCATGGCCAGTGATGCCATCCCAACCAACACTATGCATCTGTTTGAGCCATGGGGCGAAGCGCCCTTCAGTGCCCTTGAGATCTCCACTGGGGTTGAGAATGTAATACGCCTTCCGTGGATCAATCGAGATCCGATCAACGGTAGGCTCTTCCTGACTGTCGCTGCCACGTTCGCTGCTACACATTGCACGGACTCTGCAGTGCTGCGAACTGGACCCTATCTAGTAAAAAGTTCAAGCTCGGGATCCTGCTCACGCTTCGACCACGCAGCACAGGGATACTTTCCCATGGAATTCCCTGCAGACGTCTATCGAGAACCAGGAATATGTGATCGTCATCGACGGCATTTCCCTTCTTCTCTGCTTTCTTGCGCACAGCACGATGCTCGCAGAGTGCAGTGCGCAGGTCCACAACTGCGTGGTCCATATCTATCTCGGAGATAGCGACAGGAACACCATGCAGGTGGTACAAGTCAAACATAAAGCAAAGAAGGTCCTCAAGCTCTTCGTCTTTACAGGACGATGGTAAAGAGGCGAGGCAATTGAGAAACGGTTCTGAGAGTCGGGATATAGATGAAGGAGCAGAGGTTGCAGTGGACTTCGGCTGACGTTTCTTGGTATTTGAGGAGGATAGAATTCGCGACAGTACCTTGTCTAGACGCACACGAAGGTCATCAAGGAGGTTTGGAGCAAGGTTAGCTGAAGGGCCCAATATCGCCTGGCGAACCGTGCGTCCTAAGTAAGCGAAGGCATGATGAATTAGAACCGGGTCAAAACCCACCTTGAACCCTCCCAACCAACAAAATTCGATGTTCTCCAACAATTCCTGCAACCGCTTATCAAGCGCCGCTCGCTCCGCCCACCAGGCTGCTATGTGCGCACGGTCATCATTTCTTACATGCACTGCTCGCCGCGTGCCCTCATCACTTAAGCGCACGATATCGCGGAACTCCGCAAGTGCCTCGTCGAGTGTGAGATGTTGTTCGTCGCTGTCGGAACGGCTGTGGAGGGGCAGGCAGAAGATTAACGACGAAGCGGACGAAACTCTGCTGAGGAACATCGTTGATTTGTCCGGGGTAAGGATAATATGGATAGCCGTCCAGTTTTTGGGCAGCTTTGAGATCTCCGAAGACAGGCCCGCAAAGCCTGACGGTGACACTGTAGCAGAAGTGTATCTTTCTTGCAAAGCTTCCCAATAAGCGAGCAACGAGTCTGAAGCAGTGGCCGACTCGGAGCCACCAGAACTTGCTGACGAGAAGGAAGAGGCCCGGATAGGATAGCGCGTGGTTGGGCTTCCCTTAAAATCGGATGCAGTCGGCAAAAGGCCGAGAGGCGAATCAGAAGCCCTTGGCAATGGCCACTGAAGATCGTCCCTACCATTCCAGTCAGGAAATTTGTGCCGGATGGCTTCAAGCATTTCACGGTGCAAAGTGATCGCCGACGACGTGTCTACACAGTCCCAAAGTTAAGTCCCCAAACCGCGATATTTGGAAAGACGTACGTACCCAAAAGGCACGTTGCAAGTAGAGGACCATCTGACACCACCTTACCGAGGGCAGATTGCAATACCTGAATCATTCCCAATGACACCGCAGCTTCTCTAACATGAGGAACGTTCCCACAACGAGAGGTGAGTGCCAAATCCGCCCAGAATAAGTCTTCCGCATCACCGAGAGCGCCAAGAATGTCGTGTGTGGCTGGGGTCGACGATGCATCTTTTCCTCCTGATAGCGGCATAGGAAGTGCGATCGCTTCGTTCAAAAGGTTAAGCAGACTATGATGAAAGGGATTACTTCTACGCGACTTACCTGACTCTGTCAGAGAATTGAGGAGAATGTCTGCTTGGAACGATCTATAGACGCTGTGCATAGTTAGCATGCCCATGACAGCATGTTCTTCCCCCTAAATCCCCAAGATCAACAAATGCTCTGGACTGGTCACCAACACGATACTCATACCTTAATTTCTGCAGATGGTGGCAGTGACATGAGTTTCTCGACCAGCTGCTTAAATAGTTCATCTTCATCTTCCTCGTTTCTCAAGAGCCAAACTGCGAGGAGGTCAGAATGCCACTTGTAATGGACATGGAGACTCACTATGTCGCCGTAAGATCCTTGATAGGAGCTTTGGAACAATCATTCCCTGTCCAGGATTGACGACGACGGCCCCGGAGAGAGTGCCGATGCTGGACTTCCGCTGAGAGCTATAGAATTCCGCTGAGCTACGAAAAGACAGCGAAAAGTAATGGCCACGTACCGGCCATCAATCGCAGCCAAGGTTCCCTCCAGCTCATCCAACATTTTTCGTGCCCGCTCGTAACTCTCTTTTGAATTCTGTTCTTGGCCCGCTTCGCACAAAGCTTCATAATCCCCTCTTAGCCTCTGCACGTCTGCCGCATCTATCCCCGGAAGGTCCTCTAGCAGCTGCGCAGCTTTCACTAGTTCCTGTTGGCTAGCAATTAGATCTCCTTGACCCAACAGCACCTCGCTACGAAGAGTAAGAGCTCGGGCAGCAACAATGGACGCCTTGGTAACTTGTGCAAGGTCAAGTGCCTGCTGCGAAAAATATAACGCGTCGCGCGCAGAGCCGCGTGCAAAGAAAATCTGAGAAAGCGAAAGCAGTGTCGTGAGCAGAGATGAAAGTAGGCGCCACGAGAGTGCATCAACTGGAATTGATGCACGACTGTCAGACGACGCTGTAGGTTGGTCGCTGACCGGTGTTCCGTTGCTGGGAGCTTCGAATACATTGTTGTCTTCTTGGGTTGTCTTCGAAGCTGAACTTCTTGAGGGGCTTAGACGCGAAAGAGCATCAACAGCCCGGTTCCACAAGCGAAGAGATTGTAGCATGGTGCACAAGGCACCGACCATATCATCCTGGAACGAAACTCGTCGATGACCTGAAGGCAGTGCGGAGATGGGAACTTACTTTGGAATATTGAATGGCAGAGAAGACACGGCAGGCTAGAGCAGCCCTCTCTAAGCGTTCCACACGAGCTCTTATACGTTGGACAGTTGGTGCTGTTTTATCCTCAGCAGCGACAACATCCTCTAAACTATGAGCTTCGCAATATACACTCGCACTTCCAGTAGGTTCAAGCACCCGGCATCAGAAACCAAACTGCTTACGTACCTGGCAGGCATGTTATCACCCAGTGCGAGGACCTCCGCCTGGCCTAACAGGTATCTTAGACGTACTTCGACCGGCGTGTCCTCAGTTTTGAGAAGTGTAGTGCAACGGTTGAAGATGGAACCGGCGCGCTTTGGCTTGCCGAGCTTGACATACTCATGGGCAAGATCAACACAAAACACCGAGTAGGCTACAAGAAAATGTTACGTCGCATTAGTGGTTAGTGAACGGGTCATACCTTCAGTAGGAACTGGGGTCTGCTGTTCGCAGAGACGCTTGAGAATCTCGAGAAGCTTCACCTTCAAAACGATCAAGCCCAGCAGACCCAGTAAGTGTATGTTCATTTCTCCGTATCAAAACGTTATCAGCACATATCCTAAGGGGTGATGCTCAAAGTAACTTACGAAGTAGGCCAACAAGGGAACCGAGGTCAAAACGGGCATCGGATCTTTCAACTTTCTCTATAGCCTTTGCAACCGCAGCTGAATTTAGAGATACTTCATCGAGAACTGGAAAACTTTCAAGACGTGTTGACAATTATAGCATGGTAGGACATACCCTTTCTGGGCTTAGGCGTAACAGGATGCAAAGCTGGCTTCTTAGTGACACGAGTTCTGGTCATCGGAGCTTGCATCTTCTTTCTGCTCCCTCCTCTATTTGCTCTCGTTGAGGCATCCCCGTTAAATCGTTTCGGATTCGAGCTACCATCTCCCAAAACCCCTTCAGTGTTGTTGAGAAGGCTTAAGAGAACCTCACATGCTCTCTCAATGTGCGTAGTTACTGCGCTTGTCATCTCCGATCCAGCGGGCAGCCGGCGGTAAGAATGGAGAGCAAGCCACAAGTGAGCACTTAGGGTATACTTGGGCATAAGGGAAGCGAAACCAGAGTCAACGGGATGGAGCTATGTGTGAAGACATCAGTAAACGCAGCCTCAGATGGAACATTAAGACCCACTTCTCTTTCCACCAGGGTTAGCACTTCCCTCCCCATATCCTCTACATCCAATTGATAGGAGCCCCTCTCGTTGTCTTCGGCGGCACTCCTTCGGTCCCTCCAAAGCACATCTAGACCACATAGAAGGGCTCCTGCTCTCCGTGCAGGTGCCCACTTTGCGTTATATACCGCAAGTAAATCTCGGAGAATACTCAACATCGTCGTTCGAACACCATCTTTGTGGACGACGCTTTCAAGCGTTTTGAGTTGGCGTTCGAGAAGGACACCTGTGATTGCCCCCTTCGATAGGGAGTCATCGAGGGAAAACGGCGGATCACCATCAATATTGATGTTAAGGCAACGCGTGCTGGAGTCTTCGAGTACGTGACGCAGAGAAACTTGTTCAGGAGGAAGGAACAACTCGCAACTGGCAATGTACGTTAATCGCTCGATCACTGAAGCGAGCTGCTTGAGTAGCCCATCATCGTCTTTGAAAGGGTCCGGCGCGGCGATAGAGGGAAAGAGGGTGTAAGGAAACATCCGCACGCTTTGAACAAAAGCCTCAATAGAAAGCTATCTTGGCAATCGACGAGTTGAGCAAAAGTCTGTGACCAAATATACGGAAGTAACAAGGCGAACCGCACCTTCCTATCCCCAATCTTCAAGTAGCACACTCCTAGCAACTCGTACCTTCTGAATAGCTGCTCCTCGAGTTGCTTCCAGCCTTCCTTGTTTCTCTCGCCTTCCTTCTCCTGAGAGTCGAATTCGCCATTGGTCGTGTCCACCTTGCCTTGTGAAGTATATAAGCTTAGAGCCCTCGTCCCAACAATACATCCCTGCTTCAAAAACCTAATGGCTCCACCATGTTTATCGGCCTTGTATAATGTGCCGCCAAGGTTGTGAAACGCCCCGGAGATGCAGCGTAAAAAGTTGGCGCTATCTAAAGGGTCTATAACCGTTAGGGACCCGTCGATAGTGGCTACTGCGTTTTCCAGTTGCCGTAGGGCGAGTGTATACGTATCCACATCATCTGAATTAAGTCGGTTCCGCGCAACCACAAACTGGGTGTCTAGAAGCGACGCGAGGTTATCCTTGATGGTTGCACGAGGAAGGTGATGAACTCTTCGGATCTGTACGCCTTCAAATCAGACAAGTTAAGGCAAAGCTAGGAATTCGTTACCTCGGCAGTATCCGCCCCAAGTGCTGAGGTAATGCCTTCTAGTAAAATGAGCAAAGTACATCTCGCTTCCGTGTCCGATCTGCCACCTTCCGCAGCATCCAAAACTCGAATAGCGGCTCGTCTTAATCGTTCCAACGCACGCTCTATCTTGCCAAGAGAAGCATCAGCATTCCCGTCAGGAACGGTGCTTGACATATTCTCTGCCGACCTCGAGCGCAATTGTGCAGCGAGTAATGGGTACCTTGGAAGGCAATCAATTGCTTGTCTGCTACGCTTTACACTTTCAGGGTCTGAGCCGACGACGAGATGATGAGCTTCTTCGCCCGAGAACTTTGATAGGAGATCAAACTTGCCGTTATTCTCCAGACTTGCGGTAGCCTTGACGAGAGTGGCACAAAACTGGGCACACTCGACTACAATGCTACCTTCGTGGGGTGACTTGCCTCCCTGCGAACCTTCCGATCGCAACTTCAGCTGCCCAACCTGAACAGTGAGGCTCTCGATCTCTGTAGAAGCTCGAACTGAGTCGGATACCGAAGATACACGTTCAGAGCCTTGTGAGAACGAGAGCCGCGCGATGAGCTCCGAAATGTAATCTAACATAGCCATATCGCCTGTCTAGACAGAAAATATTCAGCACCTCCTGCAATCCTTTCACGAGACAGAAATGCCGTGGCTCCTAAAACGAAGCATGAGGAGAAGATTTGTGAACTTCAAACTCACCCTCTTGGCCAAGGTCATCCAAAATTCACACACCCCAAGAAAGGCCCTAGCCTCCAGGAAGCTCCGCAAAACAAGACCGTTTACGCGACCAGCCAATCCATGAAGAGTCTGCGAGATATACGACGCAGCTGCCGCTTCAGATGTCTTTACATCGCGAGATAGACTCGAGTCCACTGACGCACGGGCATATGCCATGCACGCTTTTTGGACCTGGTCCCAGAACGTGGACGGCTTGATGGTATCCGGGGACGTGTGTAAAAGGCAGGATAGGGCATAGATGCGTAGGTAAAATATGAATCGTAAATTTGAACCATTGATCGTACGGGTATTTGATGATAGGTGGCTGCACGCCTTCGTCAGTGACGTGTACGCTCGCGTTAAGAGCGCGTCCTTAGTCTTCTCGGATATACATTCGCTCGTAGTTCGTTGAGCCAAATCAAGGAGGCTAGGGTGATTCTGAAGAGCCGAGACAAAATCCTGCAATGAAATGGTAGAGTGTAAGAGGGGACTTAACGCACTGAGCGCGTACGTCAGAGCGGTGAAAGCGAGAGTTGTTAGTGCGCCATCCCTGGGTGAGGACAGAGGAAGCGAAAGAAGGCAGAGCGGTGGTGGTAGGACAGATGATCCCTTCATCAAAGAAGTTAGGCGCGAGTGCACGCCGCTCAGTACTTCTGCAACTGCCTCATGCTGAACAGTTCGTTAACACCGTGCATAGCCAGATACGTTCGGGACATACCAGTTCCAAAGCAAGCAATTTCCCCACTAAACTGCAAGCTGCACGCTCGATGTCCATGTCGTCCGGGCTCAGAACCCTCAATCTCTGCAACGCCTCTACCGCCTCTCCCACTGCATTGTCCACCGTTTTAGCAGTCGGCTCCGTAGCTCTTCCCTTCGCGCCTCCTCGCGAAGCCTTCCACCCCGAATGAACCACGGCGGAAAGTGTCTGCAAAGACGCGTTCACCACACGCATAGCACCAACCCGGTTTTGCTCGGAGGTCGATGACGAGGGCTCCATGTCCATTGCATTGACCTTCCGCTTCCCTTTGATCTTCGGATCAGTAGTAGTAACTGACTTAGATCTCGTCCCCGTCATGACTTTACGAGTTGTCGTAGCCATGATATAAGTTTGTAGGTGTTGCAACCTTGGCACAAAGTCACTGGCATAGCCGGTGGCACGGCTCCCTTGAATTGCAAAGCTCGCGTCGAGTCACGTGAGCGTCGATGTAAAACCCCCAGCCACCCGAATTCTCAGGTTCTTTCAAACTCATATACCTCGCTCATAAGTCCAGGACCTTCATCGATACCAGTGAAGCACCATGAAAACTCTCTCTGGTGCACGAGCCGAGCTAGCTCGCATGCAACGCAGGGAACTGGAACTTGTCCAGGAGCTCCTAAACGTCCGCAAGGCTGTTGCAGCACGGAAAGTCGTGATCAACGAGTTGATCGAAGTCAGCGTCGTATCATACGTCGATCGCCTTCCAGACGAATTGCTTGCACAGATATTCCTCCTCATTGGAGATCGGCAGAAACGGGAATGGGAGGTGGGTTGTTATTGGAACCACGACCGACGACACCGGTGGGAAGAGGACCATCTAGCTCTAGCTAGTGTCTCACGCCGTTGGAGGGCTGTGATATTGGGCATTCCTGGTGTCTGGAGCGAGGTCTGCTTGGGGTACTACTTGCGACCAACGTTGTTGAAGTTGCGCTTGGAAAGAAGTCGTCAAGCCCCTCTTACCATCTCCCCCGGATGCGGATACGGACTGCCAAGACTAGAAGTTGTCTTGCGTCACGCCAATCGATTTCATACACTCCGGATTTGTGCTACCGACGACGCCAAGGCCTTCCTCGGCAAAATCGCCGGTATAAGGCTTCCGTCTCTGCGGTACCTTGTCATAAGCGCAGATTGGTCGGCTGATGACTTGCTAACGATTCGTTCATGGGCTCCTGCCCTCAAGCATCTGGAATTGTACAATTGGAAGGTGCCATCTCATAGCGCCCTTTCTCAATTTATCACTGCCGAATCATTGGAAGAACTGTCACTCGTAGACGTTACTACCAGTGATTACCGGACGTTTCACAGCATGCACTTTCCTTTGCTTCGGCGCCTCGCACTTGACATCCCCCTACCTTTGTCATTCTTGGATGCTATTGTAGCTCCAAAGCTCACCTCTTTTTACTTTACTGGACAACATTGTGAAACGCCACCCTACGGCACATCTATCGGAGATGAGTCGAAATTCAACAATGTCTCGCACCTCTCTTTTGTTGCATCCCGCTATGAAAAGACGGTCAGCAAGAATGCTTTGGATATCTCCAAGAGACTTTGCCGCATATTTCATGGCATACGTTATGTGACCATTCATGTGGACTACGTGTCCGCATTATTTTCCACGTTGAATCGTTAGCAAAGCAACCAATGCCTCATTGACTACTGCTGGAAATTCCTCGAAAGCCTTGAAATACGGGACTTCACTCTTAGCTCTATCGAATTACTTGAATGTTTAATGGCTTGGCTCACGTGGCGAGAGAAGTCCGGTCAACCAAAACTGCATTGGAAACTTGCATAAACCCCATGCTAACGGCCTGGTGACACTGGACACTTCCCACACCCTCTATCAAACATTGAGGGAATGTTGTGCGTCATTGGAGTAGGATCGTGTTCCGGTCTCTTTCTAGGTGGTGTCTCTCTACAACGGTGAGTTCCCTGTTGTCGGTGACTAGGTCTGTACTTCGAGCACTGAATGGTATAGTGTCCCTTATTAGGTCGATTAGATCGCAAGTCGGGCTGGAGTTGTGTGAAACCAGTTGAGATCGAGAGCTATGCGACCGTTGCATGAGCAGCAGAAAAGGGGGGCTAGTACCTCTGAGTGTACTCGCATCGCAGCTGACGAAGCCTGGCACTATTGATGTATTCAGACTCGTCCACTTGACACTTAGCGTAGCATACATGACTGTACTTATGTGGGACTCCGGCTCCACCCAACATAATACGATGTAATAATACATCAGTGTCACGCAAACGTTCGACAATGTATGGAACCAAACCGCTACCGGACACTCGCTTACCAGCTGGGTGGCACATATACAATGATCAGAAGGGAATTGGAAGTTGACCAGGAGCTCTTGGACGTCCGCAAAGCCGTAGCAGTACAGAAAGTTGTGACTGACGACCTGATCAAAGCGAGTGCTGTAACACACATCGATTGCCTTCCAAACGAGTTGCTTGTGCAGATAATCCTCCTCATCAAATACGAGAAGGAAAGCCTGGCCAGCGTCTCCTGCAGTTGGAGGGCCGTGGTCATAGACACTCCTAGTATCTGGAGTGAGATCTGCTTGTTCCATTACTGCTGACGCCGGAGGTTGTTGAAGTCGCACTTGGCAAGAAGTCGTCAAGCCCTTCTTACCGTCCGGGCCGGTCACGACTCGTCAGGACTAGACCTTGTCTTGCGTCATGCAAACCGTATTCATCCTCTCTGGATCCTTGGCGATTCCGGGAACTTCCTCAGCAAAATCACCGGCAAAAGACTTCTTTCTCTGAAGTAGCTTTTCACAGATGTAGGGTGCTCGGTTAATCTCCTGCCAACGATTCGTTCATGTTCCCCTGCTCTCGAGCATCTAGAATTGCACCGATGGCAGGTGCTGCCACATGGAACCCTTTCTTAATTTATCGCTGCCGAATCATTGAAAGAACTGTCACTCGTAAACATTACAACCAGTGACTCGGAATTTCAGCAAGATAGCATAAACTTCCCTTTACTTCAGCGCCTTGCACTTGATATCGGCGACCCCATATCGTTCTTGGAAGCCATTGTAGCACCCGAGCTTGTATACTTTTGCTTTACTGGAGAATTGTCAGTTGACACTTAAAGGTGGCATGACCGTACTTAAGTGGGACTCCAGCTCCACTCAACACAATACGCTGTAATATGTAAGTTCAAAATGAATGTAGGCAATCCAGTCATTTTAAACAAACCCTTAAAGCTTCTTTTATCAACAAATTATCGGATGGCGATCCTTTTCATTTGAACGCAGTTGCGGAGGTCAGACGAGGTGAAAATCATTGGTTGTTGCACTCCGTACATGAGGGAGAGTCACTCACTGGGATTAAAAATGACGATTAACGGCGAAGTCAGAACCGAATGACGCTATACCGTTGACAAGATGATTCACAACCAAATATACTTGAACCCAACTTCGGCACAAGTACATAAGGTCGTCGCCTCCACTGGTTGAACGCCCATATTTGTAGTGTGCCTTTGCTCCTGAACAAGCCAATGGTAAGTGCTTGTTGATGAAGAACCGAAGTGGACACTACAAACGACCAGTTGGGGACTCTTACGAGGTTTTACCAGCGGCGTCGGTCTCGACAAGTCCACCGAAGAATCCGTTTCTGCCTGGCCCTCCGTGAAGTTTGCCAACCTACATATGCACCCGAGATCCCTCGCTATCGTGCATGATGCCCTATGAACTCCAGTTTCACAATTTACGGCCTTGCCACCAATTGCACAACAAGTATCAGGAACTAATATCACCGTGTACATACCCATTTGATGTGTGCTCCGTAACGTTTGTCCCGGCTCCGAAAGCACTCGTGAAGATATGTTAAACGGAACGCCGTGATTTTATGGCGTACGAAATCACCAGGTGTACGTATCTTCTCCTGGCTTTCACGGGTATAATTAACCACTCAAGCTTCAAGAGAAAACTAATTGTAAGCACACTGGCTTACCTGAGCCCAGATAATCAGGACGAAGGCCTATGGCGGTGTGGATGTACGATATGGAATCCGGATGCAACATACATTTCAAAAGTAAAATCATGATATTGGTATTGGCCTTGACAGTGGTGACAAGTGATGTGGCCATTGTAGTTTCGCGTCTTCCAGCGGCGACGGGCCACTGAAAGGTGATGCATATACCTCGGAGCCCCCTGACACGCTTTGTATAGGCGTTAAATTATCTACTGCTCTGCACTCACAAAATGGCAAGGAGGAACATGATCCATACATCAGCAAAGTTACAAGTAGTCTGCTTGTCTGATCCATCTGATTTAGTCTGACAAACTTTAATTCAATTCATTTGAACTCTTGGCACACCATTAAGTTATCTAGTGTCAGACATCTGGATTGTCTGGATTGTCTGAATTGTTCTGAATTGTCTGCAGCAGACTGTATCAGACAAAGCAGACTAGATGTAACTTTCCTGATGTAGTCGAGGGCGGACTAGACGTGATCGATGGAATTGTAATTGTGTTGGCATAAAAATTGGTGATCGTCACCTAGGATGCGGGGCGGGTGAAGGTCAGGCCGACGCATTACTATGCGAACAACTTCTGTGAATCAAGATCACTTGGCGGTTTTTCACCGGGCGAAAGAAGAGCTGAACGGCGCACGCAGGTGGCTGTGACGCACGTGGCAGGGAATGCCAGCAACGGGATGGGACTCATTAACTACCATATGTTCAGGAGCTTTCTGACGTCCGCAAGGATGTAGCAGCACTGAAAGTCGCGATCGAAGCGCTGATCAAAGCAAGGGCGGTACCGTACATCAATCGTCTTCCAAACGAGTTGCTTGCACAGATATTCCTCCTCATCAAATATCAGCGGGCAAGTCTGGCTGATGTCTCACGTCGTTGGCAGGCCGTGATCATGGATACACCTGGTATCTAGAGCTGGATCGACTTGGACGACTATTTCAGCAGCCAGGCATTGAGGTGGGACTTGGAAAGAAGTCGTCAAGTGCCTTTTAGCGTCTCCGTGGGCCGCAGGATGTCAGAACTAGACGATGTCTTGTCTCATGCGAACCGTTTGCGTACTCTCGCGATCTCTGGTAGCACCGACAAGATCCTTAGGAGACTCTCCCTCATAAATCTTCCCTCTCTGCATCACCTTTTCGTGACTGGAGGAGGGCTCTCGGTAGATCCCTCGTTGATGACTTGCTCATATGCTCCTGCCCTCAAGCATCTAGAATTGCATAAATGGAAGGTGCCGTCTCACACGGCCCTTTCTCAATTTATCGCTGCCGAACCATTGGAAGAACTGCCACTCGTAAACGTTACTGCCAGTGATGACGAATTTCACAGCATGCACTTTCCTTCGCTTCAGCGCCTTGCACTTGACATCCGCCTGCCTATGTCGTTCTTGGATGCTATTGTAGCCCCAAAGCTCGCATATTTTTGCTTTACTGCAAATCGTTTCGCAAAGTCTCACTACGGCGAATCTATCGATGAGTCGAAATTCAATTTTGCTGCTCCCAAATATACAGAGACGGTCAACGTGCATGCTTTGGAAATCTCCGAGAGACTTTGCCATATATTTCGCGGCACACGTTGCGCGACCGTTCATGTGAGCTACGTGTCCATGCTATTCTCCTACCAAGGTCCTGTTGACCTCTGCTGGACATTCCTCGAAAGCCTTGAAATGCAAGACATCACTCCTCGTTCTATCAAACCACTTGAATGTTTATTGGATTGGCTCAGGTGGCGAGAGAATTCGGGTCAACCAAAACTGCATTTGAAACTCGTTTCGCGCAGACCCAATGCCAATAGCCTGATGACACCGAACACTTCCCACAGAACATTGAGGGAATGTTGTACGTCAGTGGTGCTGGATGGTGTTCCGACGCCTTCCCAGATGTGTCTCTTTACGTCTTCAGATTCACTGTCGTCGCTGAGCAGCTCACTTGACACATTCCGATGCCAGTATTAAGTCGTCGTGCCATAGATCACAGGGTTCGCTAACTTGGTCCGCTGCAACTTTCTAACTTGGCTTTCTTTACAGGCTGCAAATAGTACTCATATAAAACCTTTCGCTCCCCTTCCAGTGTCCAGCTGTCTTTGCAGTTCCTGTTGTATTGTGCTTCGTGCACTGGATGGTATAGTGCTCCTATGAGGTCGATTAGACTGCAAGTCGGGCCGGAGTTGCGTGAATCCAAATGAGATCGGAGAGCTATGGGACCATTGCATGAGCAACAGAAAAGGGGGTGGCAGTATCTTAGCATATGCTCGCATCGCAGCTAGTGAAGCCTGACACTATTGATGTATTCAGGCTCGTCGACCCGACACTTAGGGTAGTCTGCATGACCGTACTTATGTGGGACTGCACCTCCACTCAACATAATACGATGTAATACATAAGTGTCATATGCAAATGTTCGACAATGTATGGGACCAGACTGCTACCGGACACCCGCCTACCAGCGGTGGCACATATACACCGTTCAGATTAGGTCAAAGAGAGTCTCGGATATGTGGGATGAGGAAAAATGTATAGGTATACTTATGTCTTGTTCGACCCCCCGATTCGTCTTTCTAGCGTAGGGAAACCGTCGACGGCTTGGCACTGACAGTGTGAACCACTTCTTCGTCAGCAGCGGGCCCAGCTTGGTTGGCACTCGCGTTTCTGATCGACGTGAGCACCTCCTTGCAGTACTTCAGCTTGTCCACCAGGCGTTGGTGGAACTTGGCTTGCTCGGGATCGGCGACCGGGGGCTGAAGGGCATGAGCCATAATTTCGCTCAGGGTGTAACGCGTCAACTTGTAATTCTTGTCGATATATGTGATAAGGAGTCCATGGGAAGAGAGGATGACTTTTGAATGGTCGTAGAAATTAAACTACAGGCAACGGTGACACTGTTGTCAACGAAGAGCAAGCTCAATACATACCTGTAAGACATCGTGACTCATCTTGAAAACAATGACGTGTTTCATGCGGAGGTACTTCTGGACGAAGTCCATGCCCTTCGTGCGATCCAAATCTTCGAAAGTATACTCATAGTCACCGTAGAGACGGTCCATGATGTAGCGTTCAAAGTGCTTGAGAAGATAAACCTTGTTCTTGAGCTCATCCGGGAATTCCGACACCGAATAGCACTTCCTGACGTAGACTGTCCCGTGCTTGCGCGAGGAGACATAGTCAAAATGGCTGAAAACACAATGTCAAGCATACAGACAAGCGATACAATATGAAACGCACTGCTTGTCAGCGGCGAGTACCAAAGTGGTGCTGTCATTGAAATGGACACCAACGGAGCCGTCGGTTAGAGCATAACCCATTCCGTACTTGTTGCAGTAGTCCACCCAGGACACGATAAAAACGCGTTCGGTTGGGAGATTGACGTCCTCTCGAGGATCACGGAACAGCTTTCCTGCTGCTTTGGCATCGAAGGCAACGGTTAACGTCTGCGCAGCCGCATCGAAACCGCTCAGTTTGGTCTGAGGTGCCGACTCCACCCGCACTTCAGTAACCGGGGGTTCCTTGTGTTCTTCCCTCATGCGTTCTTTACCTAGAGCCGCCTTACGTACAGGAGGCTGATTCTCTTGCTCGTCGTCGGTGCGAGTCCCGAGGCCGCTCACGGGAGCCATCTGCGCAACAATTCTCGCCTTCTGCGACTCCAGCTCCTTTTGTCTCTGTAGATCATAGTTCTTTTCCCTAGCACCCCGAGGTGGTTCTGGGTCCTCTTCTTCGATGTCCTGAAGACCACGAGTAGAACGAACGTTGCGGAGTGGGGAAGCCTTCGCTTCTTTCGCAGCTTGGAGTTTCCTAAAGAGTGGGGACTCCTTGGCACTATTCGTTGTCGACATGAGAAGGGGTTGCCTTGCGGAACTGAGTAGGGCAGAGATAGGGCTCCCTGGCTGTACAGCCTTCTGGAATTCCATCTCTTGCTGAGCTATGCTCGACGTAATGGCGTTCTTCGCCTTCTCACTCGGGCCGTTGTCCGGTGGAGCAGAAGGAACCGCAATGCTTGTGACTTGATCATCGTCGAGAAACGCAGCCTTCTTGAGTTTCGACAGGTTGATGATAGACATGGGGCGTGTGATATATCGGAAGTCAGGGGGTCCGTCATGTGCAGAAAGTGGAATGAACTGCGGGACAATTCCAAAGTCAATAAAGGGCGACGCGATGATCTCGTGGAGGGTTGGACGTTTCTGCGGATCAGGTGTTAGGATGGCCTGTATGCATTCGCGGGCATCAGACGAGATGCGGCGTTCAGCAGGAAACTCGTAGTTGTTGTCTCGAATTCTCCTATAGAGGTTTGGTGATCAGACAATCGCGGAAGCCCGGACGGCTAGCTACTTACGTATAGATCTCTTTAACATCCTTCGTTTGGAAAGGTGGACGCCCAATCAAAAGGGTGTACAAGATAACGCCAATTGACCAAGTGTCAACTTCGAAGCTGTGCCCGTTTGCTGTGTCGAACAGCACCTCCGGGGCGATGTAGTTGGGTGTTCCGCAAATGGTCTTCTTCCGTTCGCCCGGGTTTTCAATCAGCGCAGCCAAACCGAAGTCGCCGACTTTGATGTTCATACTAGCATCCAAGAAGAGGTTGCCGAGTTTGAGATCGCGGTGGATGACTTGGTGGGAATGCATGTAATGGCAAGCACCGATAATTTGGACTAGGAAGAAGCGTGCCTCAGGTTCAGTGAACCTCCGACGGCGGCGAAGCATGTCCATTAGGGAGCCACTATGGCAAAGTTCGAGCGTCATGTAGACGTTCTGGTCATCCTCGAAACAATCATGGAACCGAACGATGTTTGGATGAGCAAGCGATCGGTGAATCTTAATTTCAGCATACAGCTGAATGCTCTCTTGTCGGTAAATGTGATACATCGAGTGACGGTTGACGAACCTTCGTCTTTGCTTTCTTAGTCTTGAGAGACGTCTTCGTTACAACCTTGCACGCAAGCCGGGTTCCACGGACATCCTTGACCTCGTACACTCGTGCAAAACCACCCTAGGTATGGAAGAGTTGTACGTAAAACACAGGATAAATGTCAACCAAGGACTAACCTCGCCCAAAAACCCGACACGTTGGTATTCTAAGAGATGGTTCTTGTCGGTGATTATCTTTGGAGGAGAGGGGGGAGTAGTCTTGCTATTCTGGCGAGGCAAGGGAGGGTCAGGAGGAGTGGCCTTTGCCTTCTCCTGCTGCTTGGGCGACGGTGCTTGTTGACCCTGCTGTTGGTTGATGGCATTGGTAAAGGGATGGCGACGGGCAGCCTGGGTTTGAGGTTGGACTTGTGCGGGTGGCATGCGGGTGTGCGTTGTGTAGGCAGACATTCCAAAGGCCTAACACCTTGAAAGTCTGTGAAATCGTCAGTCAAACGTTTCAACTTGCTTTGGTTGCTGTGGCGCTGGCTGACAGACTTTTTTGAACCACGCGAGCGTGTGTGCAAGGCGTGTCTATTAGGTAATCTGTCACGTGGACGTTCAACTTTGATTAAACAAGTCACGTGAGATCCACCATAAATACAATTAGCCCCTGAGGCCAAGTCTGGGGTCAAAGCGACGGGTCCAAGCACTAGAACAATGCAACCAGCCACAAATGCCAACGCCATGCTAAAGATTCCACACTTTTACAATAGTGGGAATAAATGTGGACCTATAAACTCGAGTTGACGGAGATCCAAAGGATCATTCCACCTCAATTCAATTCATCCCGTGTAGTACTTGCGTGCACAAGTCTGCACACCTCCACACTTCCTCTGACACAATCTATCGCATAGAAGACATGAAGCTTACACAGATCTACAACACCATGTCACCGTGCAGCAATCCATTAACAAGGTTCGTACTAATCAACTTAGCTTGATCCATGTATCTCATATCCTTGATTCAGAATGCGAGGACGGTCTTCTGCTGACGAAAAGCATATTCCACCTTCCTACACGTGTGCTGAATGCCACTCTAGCAATGGTACAGCCTCCAGTATAACGACTAGACCACGGTCTACCATCCAAAGGCTCCTTGCCACCGCAGTTGGTCGCTCACCCAGGGCGACAGAGCATTTTACCTCGGCGAAACGGAAATGGAGTTTTGCTACACGGTTCATGTCCTCTGGACCAGACACGTTTTATTTGTCAGCTGCACCGGAGACTCAAGGAAACTCTACTGAGCATTCACGCTTCGCCAATGAGGAGCTCACTTTGCAGTTTGGAAAGATATCCGTGTGCGATACCCACCCCCAAGTCACGGGTTTACAGTACGTCATCGACTGCCTTGTGAATCCCGTTTTCATCGATTATGTTGTAGGGGGTCCCCTTTGTCCGAGTCATGGATTACCACAACCATTCAGGGGACCGCGCTTCCTGACCCAAACCCAACGCTCGTCCCTGTCACTACCGAGAGAGAATGCACACAGATTGTATATTCAAACACTTTATCTGCGGAAATTTACCAACTCTACCCGCCTGTCGATTTCTTCGCAAACTGCAATGGCATTTTGGCCGGGCAATCATATTTCCCCGACCTTGACACTGAAATGGATGACATTGATATCGCAATGGGCATCGATTACAACCCCGTTTCCGTGAATGATTCGCAAGCTACAGCTTTACCTATCATCACATATGCGGCACCCTCCGAGCCGCCGTTCCCGACCCAATCATTCTTCAATGCCGGCGGAAACCATAACGGACACACAGACGGCAGTATCAGAAATGGATCAATTTTGTTCGACTTTACATCTTCCCAACACTTTATTCCCACTGACTCCAGCCAACCCTGTGATGGTCCGAGTGATACAGAAGACGACGGCGGCGTCCTCGTCGCTCCCGACAACGTTCCCAGCAGGTCACCCTTGGAACCACCGCCAGCAGTGGTACTCGAGGAAAATGAAGACGACGCACCATGCCCTCCTCAAGAAGCCATTTATCCGCTTGCAGCAACATGCCGTGCCTCACTCATACCCAGCCAACATCAACCCGCGGTTTATAAACAAGGGCCTGATGAAGCGGATAGAGACGTCGATACGGAGGGTGAAGACGAACCGCGTCAGACGTTCAAACTGGAAGCGACGGAGCCATTCGAGGAGGGAGAAGACAAGCCCCTGGCTGCGTTCTTGTGCTTCGACCAAGGGATCTCTGCGGGCTCGCTGGAGAATTTTCTTCGCACACCCGCATTGCCTTCGCAACGGACTTCCCTGTCTATCGAGCATGATGGCCAAGGACTGAAATCGTTCGTGTCTGAGAGAACGTCTTCCCGACAGGAAGGACAAGAGGAGCTTGCAGTACTTCACGCTGAAGCTGAACGACTACTCGAATCTCTCGAGCGCAAGCTTCGCAACAGTCCTCAGATTCCCCAGCAGATAATGCCATCTACTACTGACGACAACGAATCCGCCAAGCTATTCGAACGCGAAACTACAGAGCCACTCGAAGACGGGGAAGATCAAATACCCACTGCGTTCCTCAGTTGCGAGCAATGCACAGACACCCAATCATCCGCCGTCCACGAGGATCGTCTAGAACCTTTCGAACGTGAAACAACAGAGCCCTTAGAAGAAGGTGAAGATCAAACGCCACTTGTCTTTCTGAGCTGCGAGCAACGCACAACCGGAGATAACAGTGTGGACGCACACAGCCCAATTCATGGTTCTGCTGACGACGAGAATGAACCCGATCAGTCGTTCGCAAGAGAATCAACGAAGCCACCGGAGGGTGGGGAAGACAAACCACCTTCTACATCCATGACACCTGGTACTATTCTCGGGCAGCGGATGGTCACACAATCTACTGTTTCTTCGACATCCCCCAACCAAATCCTCTTTGCCCCCATTCAATCTCAGCCGGAGCTTCAGCCGTCCTACAACACTCCTCGTGGCAATCGCCGCTTGGTCCTCAATAAACATGGTCGCCCCATACGTCCCTCATCACGCGAGAAACTCAAGCGGACTCTTGGTGGTGCTCCCTGCGATCTCTCCTCCCTCACGAATACCACTGCCTGGGCGCCCCCAGGTGCTGATACTGGTTACGACGGAGATGAACGCGAGGACCGCAAAGACCCCTCAAAGAGGGCACGCCGCGATGTTAGCAAAGTGCCAGTTGCAGACCGAGGTGGTAATAAGCAACCCCGATTCGGTGTGTCAGGCCGTGCGCACTTCCACAGTGCTGTCGCACGGTTTGCAACTCGGTCACAAGGCCCGGTGGCGCCGCGACGCCCGATTCTTCGGCGTACGGACGATGAAACACAGCTCTCGGCCTCGCCGTCGATCAACATCTCCTTCGTCACTCCTTCACCATCTAGTGCCGTGGGCGCTGCTATACGACTCCATTCTCCACCTCCGTCAACCCCCCCACCCCGCACAAAGGCACGATCGAGCATAACCCCACGGATAGGCAAAGCTGTGGAAATGATGACGTGGTCAGACTCAGATATCAGCCCACCTCGCAGGTTTGCGCACCTCCTCGTCGATGAACTCGATCGCAAGCACAGACGAACACCTCACCACCCTTCAACTGAGGCAACCGGCGGCGGCGCAGTTCGCCACACAAGGCGAAGCCACGGAGAGGACTGGATACACGCTCGCAGGAGAAGATGTTGCCCCACGGACGACTCCACTCTGCGGTTCTTGGTTAGTATGAGTGTGCTACGTAGTCGCTGTCGCGTTCCTGACCTACGCTGTGCTATAGAGTGAACCGAAAAAACAGAAAAGGAAAGGGCCGTTAAGCGGGATCGGCGTTCGCTTTAAGCTACCTGATGTTGAACCGGTTGGTGCATAATCGAGATGAGCTGCTTTGGGCATCCTTAACGGTGTACCGGCGCGATGGAAGCGAGTTTCCCTGATTCGTTGGTGTCAGACCTAGGACCCTGGAGGAGCGTGCTTCGAGTGGTTGTCACGAGCAGCAGGGCGGACCAAGGATCCACTTGTGGTAGGATCATTTTCCCGGAAGAATGGGAAGCCGCTCGCCCATTGTCGCTCCACCTGATCGATAGCATGCCGCGTCATAAGTCAGGGTTAGTTATGGGGCTAAGGGTATCATTCCATCTGCGCTGACGTAGTAGTGTTGAGAGCACAATTGGATACATTCAACTTTTTGTGGTCCGGCGCAAAATTGTCGTGGCGTCAATTAGGACCGAGTTCCACTTGATTCCGAAATGTCGAAGTGGTACATGATGATGGCTATGTTAAAGTTCCATGCAACGAAGAATTTCCCCTCCACGGGGCATAGGAAAGGAAGAAAAGAAGGAAATTAAAGAACGAACTGTGACTCCACATGATGGTGAAGGAAAAAAACCCGAATGGTCAAAAAGTTTGGAACGTGAAATGAAAGAGCTTGGAAGGAAACGAGTGTCCGATGCCCATAGCGCATGGAGGTAGGGATGATTCGTTATCCTGATTTTACAAACGTATTTCTGTGTCCCTGTGCAGTCTGATGCCCAGCCAGCTAGGTACCAAACACACATCCGGGACCTGTGCGACATTGGTGAACGCCTAGTAAGGATAGCAACATGCTTCCGCATGACCGTTTACTGGTATTCTTGATAGTAGCTTCATTGCTCACCCCCTTAGATACAGACACACCACAAATATCCGCATCCGCGCCCTCGCCACGTCTTCGAGTGAGAGAAAGAGAAGGTCGTTTGTCCCGTCTCAGCAAGCAGTAAGAGACGGGCGCTGCCGAGGCGTCCCCAGACGCGGTGGGCCCGCGAAGTACTCCTTGGTGTCGCGGTTGGGGACTGGAGTTGACGTGTCGTCTTCGAAACTTTCTCCTTTTACACAGTCTGCCTCCGCATGTGCCGCGCTCGTTTGCATGGGCACAAGAGACACGACTGACCCAGACGCAGAAACAAATCCACTCAGAGTGCTTGGTGTCAGCGGGCCGGGACTGACAGTGTCTCCATCACTTGCGCTGTCATTTTCCTCGCAATTGTCGTCTTGTCCCTTGTTATGCAAATAAGCATCATCCTCCATGAGATCAAAACGCAGAGGAGCTAGCGTATTCGTAGTCGACGGGGACGCATTTCCGTCGTTCAAGATTTCTCCAAGAGATATGGATCCAGCACCTTGAGATGGTTCTTCAGGTTCACCGAAGTCGAGGAGATCTGGGCATTTGTGGGCAGGTACAGGTTGTTCATCGAGAAGATCCAAAAGATCAGGCGACGTAGGGGCGTCGCTCGGGCTCTGTGTCTGCTTATCGGGACTATGATCATCATCACTGAGATCGATAAGCAGGCCCTCGGGTACAGGGGGAGAGTTGAGCAAGGAAGAAGGCATGGGTGGTGTGTGGAATGTTTCCGGGATGGGGGGTGTACGAGAGAACGCTCCCGGCATAGGCGGTGTACAGGGAGTGTTGATTGCCATAGGAGTATCTGATGTACCCTCTGGCATCGGAGGTGTACGGGGAGCTTTCTCAGGTAGCTGTGCATACCGCGGAACAGGCTCTGGGAGAGGCGGGGTGTATGATGGGCGCGGCGTTCCCACCTTTTCAGGCAGCGCCATAGGTACGCGTACCCAAGGAGATATCTGACCGTGCGCTAGAGAAGCATTTGCAGCCCGCGGGTGCAGTTGTACGTGAGGTTGTCCGTCGAGGATCCACGTAAGGGAAGGCGACACAGGTGGTGTCGCTGGTAAGGGACGTCCGGGATAGTGCCCTCGGGGTGTCTGTGGGGAGGATGACACCGACACAGATGCCCGCGTGTGGGATGGTGAACGCTTCAACGGCTGAGGACATGCGAATCCCGGCGGACAAGTAGATACCGAAGGTGGGCAGGTGGCGGAGGCCAACGGCAAAGATGTTAGAACTGGAGTACAACTCGCCGATGATGAACAGTTTCCTGTCGACGGGCACTTGCAAGGCGGCGGAGGCGGAAGGGTCTGTACCTCCTGCGGTGGTGTCTGCGTACCTGGAAGAGGGAAGGGCGGGCCAGACGGAAAGAGCATGCTATATGCAGGGGCGCTGCGCATACAGATCTCTCGGGAGTGCGAACGTCCCCGTTGGGCTTCGCGTGATTCGGGCGCGCGTACTACGCGCTCCGTTGCAGCTCGTGTTGGAAGTGCACCAGATCCACAGGGCACGATTGGTAACTCCGGATCATGCTCGTACATCGTAACACCGCACGCAGGTTCCGGAGAAGACATACGGGGGGTTCTGTCGTACCCCCTTTTCGCACCGTGTCTGGGTGTAGACCGTGACTCCGAATGGTATTCTAAGTTTGGCAAGGCTTCTTCTGGGCTCTCCACGGAAGCTGACTGAGGCGGAGTGGTTGCAGCTGACTCAAACGTAGATACCGAAGAGACCGAGACCGGTGAAACTGGGGCACTCTGCCCACTGCGATTAGAGTTGGTGTGCCGACGGAGGTGGCGAGATACAAATGGAGGGGACCCAGGTGCACAGGTCATTGGAATCGGATGCGTTGGGCATCTGAATCAGTGCTTGTCTTTTGTGCGTGGTCATTGGAACGATAGCGATGGCGGTTCCGTCGGTTACCGCCGCCTGACTTTGTTGGGAACTGCTGTGAAACAGGGTTTTGAGGAGCCGAGGGTGAAGTCTGGGCTACAGAAGAACTATCCATCGATGACCCATTGGAATCACTACGCTCAAGGACTTCCCAATCATCCAGCTGTTCATGTTCCTTAGACCTGCGATGGAAGAGCTTCCGGGAACGTTGGTTCCCGTGATGGGAATTTGGAAGCGAGAGCAGCGACGGCGTACTCTTGAAAAAAGGGCTAGGATTGCGTAGTAGAGAGATGACAGAAGACGACGGCTGCGGTGACTGAGAACGAAGGTGGAAGAATTTTGAAGGTGATGCCGGAAGGTGTGGCAACCTATGATTCTTTGGAGTAGATGGCGTGGAGGCATCCGAGTTATCTTGCACTTGTTCGTCGTCATAGCGATCGTGGTCCTCTGGAATCTGGAGTGAAAGCTGGGAAGCGTTAAATTGCATAGCACTCGGACGCCTGGTTGTCGGCTGACTAAAAAGACGGGTCCGTTGTGGTACCGGGGTCGACGGTGCTGCCGAGACTATCCTCTGTTTATGCCTCTTGACACGCTCATCCAAAGGAACTCCGCGCTGCCTTTCTAATTCCCACCTAGTTCCTGGCTCGAGGTCCACAAGCTCGATACTGGATCCATCCTCCTCAGTCTGGGGGATTGGCGGTACGGAGGTCACAGAAACTGAATCTGACCTATCCGCTTCCTGTCTGGTGGCCAATCATTTGGGTAGATGGCACAGGGATGACATCTTCCATAGGAATCGAGGAACCACTCTCGTGAACATAATGCCTCAGATACGATTGTAGATACCGTAGTTGAGGTCGCCTTCTCGTAGGTGGGGGGAGGGGGATACTCTGTCAAACCATCGTTAGAACTGCAAGTACGTGGGCAGTGGGTGCAATCCAACCTTCGTCGAGCATTCTGGAGGATTGGACGGGATCGCGCTGCCCACGAGCACTCCCGAAGAAGGCGATATTGAATTGGATTTCCTCCTCGTATCTATCTTCCCTTTGTTTCCTTGGTCTCTGTCTTCTTGTGTGAGTGCTAGAGCTATCGGATGACGGGGGTGTATGGCGGGTGTGGTGGGGAGTACTTTGAGGGAGATACGGTGTTGGATGGGATTGCTCGACGGCCTTGTTGCCTGAGGTCATCGTATGACACTGCAAGTGGAGAGTGCAGATGGAAGACAAGGGCGAAGACGCACAACCACGCCTTTACCTGCTGGTATGCCGACACGCATTAGTTATGTTATTTGCTGGGCTTTGGCTTTTATCCGATGGTGGAAGACGGGCCATGTGTCCGGAACATGAGTCTGACCCATTTTCGTTCTCTGGGACCATGATCGGAAAGGGGGTGCGTTTCCTTTCCTTACCTTGAGCCGAGAACTGTCCTTATCGACACGCTGCTGCCTCGAGGGACTTGGTTGTCCAACACTACACCTGCCTTTTACGGCGTACGCAATTACACGTGACCTTCCATCCCTCCAGCTCGCAATGGATCCGACATTGTTTCCTGTTGCTTCGACGGGAATGAACAATCGCCGCATAGAATACTCATTTGGTAGGCTTTACTGTAACCCGACCCTGCATAGTGCCGTCTGCCTGCCTGCCGACTGAGACGGATAGCAGTCGCCGTCTGTACATCATTTCATCAGTGCTGACAACGCCTACTAGAGCTTCGGAGTTCCTACCAGTTATTCTTCACACTGCATGCTCGCCTTGACGCCACTGACTTCAGCTGTTTTCCTCGGAAATGACACAAAGTTCGGACTCCACTGGGTCCTGAATTCAACGGGCCGTGATCGGCCACAGGCAAACATGCAGTGACTTTTATCCGGAATATTCTCCACCCCCACCGCTCGTTGATGTACCCGCCCACACTTTAGGGAACTTTCATGACAATCAAGGTAGAAACTTTGGGATCGATGACGTCTTTCAACACTTCTCCCTTTCTTCGCACCTTATTTCAGCTGGGAAATGTGTCAATTATTTTGGTGTTGAAAACATCTCTCCCTGGTTTCGAACGGGGAACAGTAGTCCGCAATGATCGCGCAGACCATTGCGATTGTTCCTTCTTGACAGTCTGGCGCCACTGCAATTGCTACGACGTTAGCCAAGGCCCCACCCGACAGGCATCCAGGGTCAATACCTAAAGGGGACTTAGGCGTGTATGTGCCCGTTTCGGCCTTCCACACATCTGCTGGTGGAAATTGGTAGGTCGTCTGTACGCGTCGAAACGTGAGGCCATGCACGCGTCATACAGAAGGCTCACCTTGCCAGTAAAGAGCGCGACACCGGATGTCGCGTGGAAGTCCAGACCAGGCTAGGTTCCTCGGAAAATTGCTATGGAGCAATGTACCACGACGGCGCAAGCAATGCAGGAACCTAACGACTGGTCAAACTCTGCCTCCAGGCAACACAAAAGAGGAAGCTTTCTGGTAATTCCTGTTAGAAACCTGCCTGATTTGTCACGTACGGCCTTGGAACAGGCCCGAACCGCGCGCATCCTGAGAGGTCACCAGTAACTTTGGACGTTCTTTTTAGAATGGGCCCAGCTAGAAGCAGTGGGGGTCCTTGGAAGTGCGTTTCAGTGGGTCATTCACGAGTCCCAGAATTTATGATGTTGCAGATGTCCTTCCTGCGTGTTCTGGGCATTGTTGACACTGACATTTCGAGGAGAGACCCTCCATTTCCGTGCTCGGTACTATTCGGCGTTCGCTCCTGGGTCAGCCAGGTTGGTTTTAATGATATGGAGGCTTGATAGGGTATTTAAAAAAAGGGTCCCTGACCTACTAGAAGCTCGGGCACGGAGGTCCCTTCGTGCGTGAATACCACTAGAGCTCCTCCGGTGACGTCATTTTGGGGATCCAAATCGTGGAGCTAAGTAATAGAATTTCGACGCCCAGCATTTCAGCGAAATCTCTACTGGAAAGCCTGTCCCCCAACCTGGCTTCGTGAAAACTTTGTTCAACTCAGTTGTAAGGTTGGAATGAAATCGAGGTCGACATACCTCACGTGATTTGTTAACGCGTCGCGCCACGCACGGTGCAGTGAATATTCCAACCAAGCACGATGCCAGCCCGCACAAATCCACCAGCGGAGGCGCTGTCTGTGTCCATTCCAAAGATATTCGATCAGGCGCAGAATACGACAGCAAATCACCAAAAAAACATCGTCGCCCTGCACAAGATCCACCTCGATGCAGCTGCCTTCACTGAATCAGTCCACAATGGGAAAGCAATTAAGCTAACAGGGGAGCGGAACTTCGAGGATGCCTTCATCGATATGGTGTGCCGGGTATTGGTGATCAAGAAAGGCGTCTCTCAGGCAGAAAGGATTGTCAAGTTCATAGGAACGTACACAAAGTACTTGAATGAAAAAGGCTGGTCACCACAACCTCCAGGTTCCCTAAAGCCATTTTTAACGCGATCCCCAGCTGCCGAGACCAAGAAAGAGGACGAAGCTGATGATGATGACGACGACGACACCACTGCTTCACGCTTTGTAGCACGGCTCCTTAAGTTCCTGGTGAACGGCTTCGTTGCGAAAGATAAGGTCGTCCGTTATCGCTCCGTACGCATTCTTGCCGAGATGGTTGCACATTTAGGCGAAATCGAGTGCGTACTCATGTCCTTCTTGTTGGATATCAAAACATGACCAACGTCATCCCCAGCGAGGACGTGTACATGATGCTTCGTGCAGCCCTTATTGAGCGTGTGCACGATAAAGAAACCAACGTGCGCGTTCAAGCGGTTGTCGCACTTTCAAAGCTCTGTGGCTCTGAGGATACTTCTGACGTCAACGACGACGAGCCCACCGCCATCGATGTACTTCTCGACACGCTGGCTTGCGATCCTGCCGCGTGAGTATCTCGGATACTTGTATCTCGTGATGTAGCATTTTTATACCATTGGCAACAGGGAAGTACGAAGGGCGGCACTCCTCAATATACCGCTTGCCCCTCACACTCTTCCTGCTATGCTAGCCCGAACTCGGGACACTGATACCGTGATGCGTAAATTGACTTTTTCCCAAGTACTCGAAAAGAATTGTGAGCCTGGGTCCCCTCCGCAATCACTGTTTTGTGTCTTGCTGACTTGCCCCAGGCTTGTCCGCAGACCACGCGAGTATCGGTGCTGCCCATCCTCGTGTTCTGTCCATTGCTCAGAGAGAACTGATCATCCGCAATGGGCTCGGCGATCGCGAGCCCTGCAGTAAGAGCTGCTGCTGGGTCTCTTCTGGGTACTTGGGTTGACGTTGCACGGGGTCCCACGAAAGCCGAAGACGACGATCACGCAATACGGAAAGATGTCATCGCCTTACTTAAGTTACTTGATCTTCATGAAAGCACGATCGCGGAAGACGCGTTATTGAGTATCTTTGCCACTCGAGTCGACATTTTTGAGCACCTCGAGTTCAAGGGTAGGTCTACCTCTGAACCTTAGTTTTGCGGATTCTTTGGTCTTGACCGTTCCCTTTTCCCTAGAGGACTATTGGAGAGAACTTACTCCGGAACGTACTTTCCTTGCACGCATCTTTGTGGAGCATTGCATTGCCACCAAGGATGATGCCAAACTAGATGCTTCTCTTCCAGTCGTGACCCACCTCGCCTTCCAAATCCAGAACGCTTACAATGCATACCTCGATGACACCGACACAGCAGCGGCGCGGGAGCATGAGGTCTCAGAAGAACAGCTTGCGCAAGAAGAAGACGCGCGGCTGGATCAAGAGTTCATCATCGGTGAACTGCTCCGACTTGCTGTCAGCCTCGACTACGCAGATGAGATGGGAAGGAGAAAGATGTTCAAACTCGTCCGTAAGTACCTCCGTTCACTACCACACAGCATTGTCACGAAGGTCGTCTCACCAACGACATAGGTGATATGATTTCCCAGGATGTTCTACCGGAGTCACTTGTTTCACGCTGTCTAGACATCCTACGCACACTCTCACCTAATGAGCGTGACCTTATTCGAGTCGTTGTCGAGGTTGTCCACGAACTCCGAGATCGAGATACTACAGATGAAGAAGCAGAAGTAGAAAAGGAAGCTACAGAAACGGCCACTGCGTTTGGAGAAATCCCTTCCGCGGGACCTTCTAGCACACAGGAGGGACTGCGAAAACTCCCCAAGGAAGCAAAGCCGCTGAGCCCAGAAGAACAAGTGCGAGCTGATGCCCTCGACCTGCGGTGTTTGTCACTGTGCATTGGGATGCTGGAACGTGTCAATGGCGTGAGCTATATCCCCGTATTGTGATTAGTCGCGACGCTGAACCAATGTTGTACTCCAGACTTTTGAAGAAAACTCTACGCTGGAAGGTATCCTGGGTGAACTGATCATACCGTCGGTGAAACGCAAGGAGCTTGCATTGCGGGAAAAGGGTCTCGTCTGTCTTGGTTTGTGCTGCCTCATTGCACGAGTAAGCATCGCTTATGTTGCCCTTCTGATGGATGCTCATGCCACTGTGCTTTGATTCTTGTACTTCACAGCGTATGGCTTTGAACTCGTTTCAGCTGTTCCTTAGCCAGATCCAAGCAGCACCCGAAGTGCTCAAAATTAGGGTGCTGCAGATAGTGTTTGACATTTTAATGGTGCACGACGGCGATTTTTTGGGCCGGGGCAACGCGGGGGTGTGTTACCCTCCATCAGTCTTCCCAATGCGCCTGACCTCTGACGTATGAATGACCCAGGGCGAACGCATTGTTGAATTTTTATTGCACATACTGAGTGTGGAGGACGCTGACAAGGTCCAAGCACTGATGTGCGTTGGCCTCGCGAAGCTTGTTCTCTCCGGAATAGTCTCAGATGATCGGGTATGTCCCCAAGCTACCTTGTTGACGAGTACCCTTAGATGCTGGCCATCATGTGTGAAATGATGGCTACTTCTCCTACAGGTTCTCAAGAGTCTCGTGGTCGCATACCTCTCACCAGACACAGTTGACAACCAGGAACTAAGACAGTGCTTGTCCTATTTCTTCCCCGTGTTTTGCTGCTCGTCATCTGTGAATCAGCGTCAAATGATGCAGGTGCGCAGTGACTCCTTTGCTCACGGCTTTAGCGCTAACCGCATGACTGAGTGCAGATCACCATGCCCTTGTTCGAACAACTCGCTGGTGCAACACGCGAGTTGGAAGATGACCAAGAGATGGTCTCACCAGCTCAAATTATTGGGATGTTCGTTGATTGGACGGATCCCCAGAAAGCCTTGTGGGTTCCCTCCCTTCTTCCTTGTTCCGAATTGTTATCTTAACCCGAACAATCCGCGACCCCAACAGCGATGTACAAGGTCAAAAGATTGACAATAGTGTACACGTCGACTTGGCTGCCGACATCATGAAGGCATTATTTAAAGATGGCATGGAGAGTACGTTGTCTGCTTCGCTCTTTTCCGAATTACAAAGTGACTAAGATGATGCGCAGAGGAAGATAAGAAAGTTCTCTGTCAGGTGCTGGGACGGCTCCATCTTCCGGACACCGCGGACGACGACAAGATCCGTACAATAAAGCTACTAATTCATAACCTTGGCACGGTGTGTATAACTTTTTCATCTTTACAGTCTTCATTTAATCAGTAATCTCTCCGTTTGTTCGCGTGGCCCATTAGCGCCGCCCACTCAGGGACACCGCTGCCAAGAACGCACTAGCTAAGTTCGATGCATCCCTGTCGAAGAAGTATGCAGACAAGCTCGCTGATTTTAGCGAGGAAGAATATCGCCAGCTAGCTGCGCTCAAGGACTTGTTTGAGTTCCTGGACGATATCATTCCTATTGATGAGGACGAGGAGATAGAATTCCCAAAAACAAGAGCCAGGAAGCGGTTCGTAACTGTTTCCTCACCGCTGGTGGTGCTCTAACGAGTGTTTTGTTTCATCTTGTTGAAATTACGCGCGGGTCCATACGCGTTATCCACAACCTACGGAATGCGGTCTACTTTATCGGTCACAGACGCTCTCGAAGTATGACGACTGACACCGTAACAAGTGGTGCCGAGGAAGGCAGTCCAGCGACATCTGCAGCGTCATCATCGAAGCCAAGAAGCAAGGGGAAAGGGAAACAACCGAAGTAGGCTTCTGATTTACTATCTTACATCCATTACGGTACGATCTATTCGATGTTGTTTACAGGAGAAGACGAGTCTCTGGATCGGATGATGATTGTGACGACCATGCTCCCGATAACCACGCTACGTCAGCTCCCACCCGGATATTGCCTAAACGCGCCGCGTGAGTGACCATCAGGATGGAGCGTTGTAAGTATGCGAGCTGATCGAATCATTCGCGGGCGTCCAGTTCTGTCAAGAAGCCGGCAGCTCAGCCGATCATTATCAGCGATGACGATGACGATGATGAAGATGAAGAACACGAAGACAACCCCACGGAAACAACACCAGTTCCCTCATCTCGGAAGAGAGATCCGAACCAACGACAGACAGGGTACGTGTTCGGTGGATGATATTGCTCCCGATGATTTGACCCACTAACCAACTACTTCCATTTTCTAGGGGCAAGACTACAGAGGACCATTCGGCTGGTAATACCACATTTGATTCGATTATGGACAGTGGAGATGAAGATGAAGAGGGCGAAGTGGACGATATACTAGCTGAAGACTAATTTCGATATCGCCTATGTCATTTAGACGAACTAATGTCTCCGAGGTGTACTTATGTATATCATATGGCGTCGTATACAAGGCAGAGGGTCATGACGGATACAGAGTATAGTGATGGTATTATGAAGGCAATAATAGCACCGATTTGCCTCGGAAGAATTACTTCCTTATCTGCTAACTTGCCATTCGAGCTCAATCCGCAGACAAGAGTAACTGTAACACCCAGAAAAAGCGCGAAGTTGGGAACCGGGATCGGTCTCCTAGCCGATGATTTCACCATGTACCACTTGGTCCGCACCCTTCCGCATCCTATCGAGGAATACTGGGGAAAATGCTGCCCACCCTCGCACCTACGAGTAATATTCGAATTTCGGGCGTCTAATCCGATAGTCTTCTCTTGATACCACGGTCAAATTCGGGCGTTTGCATGCTGGCAAGGTACATTCTAGTTATACCGCCGTATATGCCTTGAATGGCGCACGTTGAACGGGCCCAATGAATTTACCCTTGTTATCAGGACTTCCGTCAACCGAGTACTTTCACTCCTCTGTTGACTATCACTCTTCGACATCACGGCCAAACACTCTCGACAAGATCGTTTTCGCACTGCAACATCAGTTCATCCATTTAGATTATCGTCTTAGGATCTCCGTGGACTCGGTTGAATGCAATGTTTGAAACCGCTCTGTTAGTGTCAATAACGAGCACGTGCATTTCCTTGGCCCAGCTGGACGGAATTCATCGATGACTCAAGCTCAACATACACGCTCCACCACCCTTCCAGATGGTGACAGAAAGTAGTGACACGTCTGTGCTGAGTGATCGGATCGTTCCGAGCCGTTCACCAGTCGCCCAACTAAATTCGAGATCAAATGACAACGAAAAGGACTTTTATCTGCTTACTGTAAAATTTCAAAAACGCGAGTGTACATAGATCCGGTTCTTGTTTCTTTTTTTCCATAATTTCGTAGGGACGGGAGTGAAATGAAACCTCGTCGCAACGACTGAAATTGCGCCCAACAACACCAGAAGTTTGGCCCAGAACCACTAATTTAAATCGCAGTTCGTCGGACTGATGTGCGAATGGCGTTAGTGACTAGTGACTGGTCAGTCATTCAGGTGTTTTACTTATCCCTACGGCAATCGGCCTCCATCGAATCCTCGACGAAAATGGTGCGTAAACCCGGGATCGTTGAAGAAGCAGGTAGACGGGTTACTTGTCGTGGAGACCCCGATTCCCGGTCGCGAATCTGATTCCCGACATCACGAGGACTCTACCTTGGGGAACTAGCCAAAACTTTGGTAGAGAGGCCTCATGTTCGGTAAGATGGACCTATCGACGGTGTTGAGCTAGGCGCACATTGGGCGGTGGTTTTGATGATCAAGAAGGTCGCTACCATGCACCGGTCGATAGATTTTACCCCACTGGTCGTGATGGAAGTCCGATGCTGCTGTGCTACTCTCATTGCAACGTAGTGGCGAGTGGTGCAGCAGGATGTAGACAGGAAGACGCACAGACCCGTGGGCTTTTTTTTTCTTTCCCTTTAGCTCATAGCGATACTTCCCCACGTTTGAATTTGAACGACTACAATTCATGGAATGCAACAGTATGCATGAGGTTATACTCGACGGCACAGTGCACTGCCCAATTGATTGTTTCCCGTCAACGCCGGACGCCGGCCACTCAAATATTAGGAGTACTGTATTACCCGATCGATTTAAAGCCTTGACCAATGTAGGCGGCGGCCGGTGGAGTCTGCCCACTACCACTACCCCTCAACGAGTCCCATGAGCGTCTGGCACGGACCGTCGGATCGGCGCACTCGAAGCTCCGAGCAAATCGCAGAAAATGTCTCACAGAGGCTGATCGATCTTTGTGTTCATGATGACCCATTGGTGTGGTCCATAATGTGTCATCGTAAGACCTCCTAAGACTCGCGTTGTCAGTCAACTGTCGTCCGCAATACAGCATTATCGGAGCCGAGTGGATCCATGGATACCCCTCGAGCCGCCCGCCACAATGGACGGGCTGCGGAATAATTTTTTTAGCAGATCATTTGTCGTGCAGGCTCACTCAACCGCCGACTACTCAATGTTTGTAACGTACCCTTCCAACCGCGTATAGCAGAAGTAATCTAGTTGTTCAGCCACAGGTTTCCACTCATCACATCATACTTGTGATGGGGGCGCACTCACCCTGACATAATTTCCCAACGTTCTGATCTCGTATGTATCCGTTGGTGTACTAGTGAAAAATGAGAGATGGCATTCCGCAGATAGGAGAAGCAGATGGCCGAGCTGACTTGACCTAATACATGGTCCAATTGCAGAAGATGTCTTCACAGCAGCAGTACCCCAGACCTGAATGCTGTGCTATCAAACTGGTGTGTTGTCTCTGATGGGAATGACGCAAAGGGTTGTTGTTCCATGTTGTCTAAGGTTGTCTACCACTGCGGCACTAGGGCATCCAGATCATGCCAGAGGTGATTTTGCGTTTGAACTTTGCTGCGACGACGCATGCGCTTGATCATTGGACAACCGGCGCAGGCTGAATAGGGAGAGCGGTGCCACTGCTAGTAATATGGGTGGTCTCGGAGTGCAGGGTAAACCACGTTCCCTTCAATGAAATGAGTACAAGCGTGGGAAGGGCTCTGGGAAGGTATGCTATTAGTGCGGGTTTAGTGGGTGCCATCTTCCTAGACTCGTGTCCAGTCTTCAGTACCGTACTACACCGTTTAGGATCAGGAGGAGTTCACCACATTTGAAGGCTGAACAAGATTACATGACCGCAGGCCACGGACCGGACCTGGTCCCTGTGACGTCATTAATACGATATCTGCTTCGAAGACCTGCGGTGGTACTTCCACGAAGAGAGAATGTGAAAATGCGGAGGTCCTCGGCGAAATAAGCGCATCGGCTGAAGGACAGCTGTGGGGGTTTCGGTAAGCAGTATGGGGGAATGGAGGTAAGTGGGTGTGAGGAGCAACTGTTGCATGCTCCCTCGTGGAAGCCGAGGATGGGCACTGATGAAGTATACAATTGGTCTACTGTCGTGGTTGATACAGTGGCATGTCATTGACGTGAGAGCCGTGCGGATATTAGGGTAGGGTCATATGGAGTGCGTGCCGGGTATCCAGAGGTGTCTGGACGCACCCCCCTATGCAAACCACCAGGCGTTTACGTTGGGTGTCAAAAACACCGGGGTGGTCAGTGACATTGTCCCTCGAGGACTGCTAAAGATGGTCAGACGACCTGGCGTATGTCGACAGCGGAGATCAGGGAGCCTGTCCTAGGAATTGGCTGCGTTGCACAAAGAAACCTCCCCATGTACGTTAAAGCCCTCGAACGACAGGTGAGGATTGGAAAGACAGCGGCAATACTGTGCCTTCCAAAACCTTGCGAACCAGGTTGAAGTGACGACACTTATACTTATCGCAGCAGGGTATCTGTTGGAGTGCCAGTAGATGCCCCTGGTTTAAACGTCTACCTGGGTACTTCGCAACTTCTCAAGCAGGTACACGGCAACCTTGTGTCGATATTTACGACCTTCTTTGATGGGCTGAGCTGACGATCGAATTCAAGGGAGAGTCGAGAATTACATATGTGGTGGAGCGGAGTCTAATAATAGAGCGAGCTCTATTTATGTGCAAGTCCTTCATTTGTGAGATACGCCCCATCAATTTATTACACGACAAACCTGTCTCGGGTGTCAACGTTATAGTGCCTGGGACTTACACACAACCACTTACCGTGTGTGTCCCCAAGATTGCGCTGGTTGGCCGGCTCGGCCGAATGTGTGTTGAGATCGTATCCATAAGGGGTGGAAGATTCGAGTGTTACAAAGTAGCGTCGCGGAGGAGCCCGGCAGCCTCGCCTGTGTTCGGCGTCGCAACTACGACGTACAGCAAAAAGAGCTCGTCGCACTGTGAGACCCGAGTCAACCCTGGAGGCGTGGCCTTTGGATAGATAAGGAGCACAGATCAGTGACGACCCGAGTCGGACCGATCGGGATCGAAGGTAGACATGTGGCTTAGTACTAGTACTAGAAAGCTCACAGAAGCAACTTCGGAGTCTTATAAAGCGCCAGCACAACCCTTCGACGAGTCTTCGCCGAACACCGATCGGACGTTTCTATGACTAAATTAACGTGGCATTGTGGAAGCTAACGAACCAACCGGCGGGACTGGTGATGGCCGGGACGTGATGGGATGATGAAGGTGGAGGAAACGAGGATCTGATGCGGCCCATCACATAGTGCAGGAGGAGCAAAGTTCAGGCGATGCGTTATGTATAATAGCGAATCCAGCTGCGCAATATTATGGCATGGAGTTAGCTGGGTTGCCCCGCCAAGTCCGATTCCATCACGTCTAACGCCTTGGCTATCCTTGGTCAATTAGTTTAACGGACAGCTCGTAGTGGTCTTCGACCAGAAATTCCGGACAAGAAATGTCATTTTAGTCGTGAGTCAAAAAAAGGTCCGTTCGTTGGATGGGAGGAAGCCTGGTGTATACATACTATACGTCTAAACCCCATTAGAGGCCCTGGACATGTGCGGTCCATCAGAGGATTCGTTATCTAGTTTGATGTTTGATCATGGGAGCCATGCGGGAAAGGGAAAGTTGGACACTGGATGGATGATGTACTAGTGGCACTAGTAGATTAGACTTGCTTGGCAATGGGGGACAAGAGACTTGGGCCCGCATAGTCGACGGATGAATTAGAAGGTGGAGATTGTTTCACGTCTTCTGCGCTCACGACGGACTGTGTTGACTGCCTTCTTGGCTACAGTAGGTTGGACTTGGCCATAGTCTTGGGCTAGCGACGGAAGAGGTGTGCGCGGAATCCCAGGGTTCGGGTTCCACCAGCGATTGCCTGATTTGGGTAGAGACCCGGTGGCCAGATAAGCGGAACGGCAGGTGACTTGTTTTGGATTGTTTGTTTGTTTTCTGATTTCGGAATATTGTTGCCCCAAATATAAAAAAGTTGCCTGCTCGACGGGGCTGACAACTCTCCCACTCCTTCATCCGTCCACTCCTCTCCACTCCATCCCTCTTCTCCAAAGCCTAGCCAGTCCGCTAGTGACTTCCATAGTCCCGTTACTGGGCTATCCCTCCCTGCATTGTTTTTGCCATGTCGAACGTGGAAAAGGAAGCTGGTCCGCGGGGCGAAGAGTCCCCCGTCTCCCCAAGCCCTCCAGATGTGAAGAAGAAAAGAGAGTACAAGGAATTTGGCCACGATGAGGAGAAGCCAACTCGTGAGCGGTCATAGGGTTTCCTCTAACTCCGTACCGTTTTTGATGCACATATGCGTAGATGCCAACTGTCGACATGTCCATGGTTCGTTCCGTTTCTTTATCTCCGAAGACGGGATGGCTTATTATGGTATCATCCAGATCGAGCTCAAGGCGGAAGACCTTTACGACAAGGAAAAGGTGGACCTAGAAACCATCGTCGTAGAGGACGTCTTCAAGTTGCTTCAATGCGACGAAAACGGTCTGAGCACGGATGAGGCCCAGCGTCGTCTAGACATCTTTGGCCCCAACAAGCTTGAGCAGGAGGAGCAAAATGCGATTCTTCAAGTATGCATCCACCCCTTTATTTCCGCGCCTTTGGGGATTGAACTTGTTTCTAGTTCCTTAGTTTCATGTGGAACCCTTTGTCTTGGGTCATGGAGGGTGCTGCTCTTGTGGCTATTGCCCTTTCAAATGGTGGCGGTCTCCCACCAGATTGGGAAGACTTCGTCGGGATCATCTTGCTTTTGATCATCAACTCCACCATTGGTTTCTATGAAGAACGTAACGCCGGTAACGCAGTCAAGGCCCTTATGGACTCACTGGCTCCAAAGGCCAAGGTCAAGCGTAACGGTCAATGGCAAGAAATTGAGTCCGCAAACCTCGTTCCCGGTGATATGATTTCTTTCAAAATCGGTGACATCGTTCCGGCCGACTGTCGTCTCACGGAGTCCATCAATGTTTCCATTGACCAAGCTGCTTTGACCGGTGAATCATTACCCCAGAGCAAGAAGGAGGGCGATCAGTGTTTCTCGTAAGTAGTCCTCTATTGTTGCACCCTGAACCAACTGAACGAAATTTTGCTAGTGGTTCAACTTGCAAGCAGGGAGAGGCTGAGGGTGTCGTCATCTCTACTGGTGCCAACACGTTCTTCGGTCGTGCCGCTTCCCTCGTCGGTCAAGATGATGACACCACTGGTCACTTGCAGAAGATCTTGGCTCAGATCGGATCCTTCTGCTTGGTATCGATCGGTATTTTCGTTGTTGCTGAGATTCTCGTCCTCTATGCTGGCTTCCGTTACGAATACCGCCGTGGACTCAACAACATCCTTGTGCTCTTGATCGGTGGTATCCCCATTGCCATGCCTACAGTCTTGTCGGTGACACTCGCTGTCGGTGCCCAGCAACTCGCTAAACATAAAGCCATCGTTACCCGTATTACCGCTATCGAAGAACTTGCTGGTGTCACTATTCTTTGCTCTGACAAGACTGGTACGTTGACGACCAATAAACTGACCATCGACAAGGAAACCATCCGCACATATGGTCCCTTCTCTGCCGACGATGTCATTCTTCTCGCTGCATATGCATCTCGTACGGAGAACCAGGACGCCATCGACACCTCCGTGGTTGGTGCTCTGGGTGATACCTCTCGCGCTCGTGCCGGCATCAAACTTTTGGACTTTAAGCCTTTCAACCCCGTTGACAAGCGCACTGAGATTACTTATCGGGAGGAGTCATCCGGCAAACTCAAGCGTGTTACCAAGGGTATGACCGGCATCATCATCGAGCTTTGCACTCGCAACAAGACCGACGAGCTTGAAAATAGGCTTGAATCCGATGTTGAGGAATTCGCTTCTCGTGGCCTCCGTGCCTTGGCCGTTGCTTACGAGGAACTGGACGGTGACGATCCGGAGGCAGAGGGTAACGGTTTCGAGTTGATCGGTCTTCTCGCCATTTTCGACCCTCCTCGTGAGGACACCAAGCAGACAATTGACGATGCGCTCGCCCTCGGTGTTAAGGTTAAGATGGTTACGGGTGATCAGCTCGCCATTGCCAAGGAAACTGGTCGTAGGCTCGGTCTTGGCGACCACATGTACCCTGCTAAGGTGCTCAAGGATGGTCCTGCCCCCGGAGGCAAACATATGAACTTGGATGAGATGATCCTTGATGCTGATGGTTTCGCTGGTGTCTTCCCGGAACACAAGTATGAAATTGTCAAGCGCCTGCAAGGTCTTGGCCATCTCTGTGCTATGACCGGTGACGGTGCTAACGATGCTCCTGCTCTTTCCCGTGCAAACGTCGGTATTGCTGTCGAGGGTGCTACTGATGCGGCTCGAGGTGCTGCTGATATCGTCCTGACGGAACCCGGTCTCTCCACTATCGTCCATGCCATTCGTGGCTCCCGTATCATCTTCCAACGTATGCGTAACTATTCCATCTACGCTTGTGCCGTGACCATCCGTATCGTCGTCTGCTTCGCTATTCTCGCGTTCGCATTCCGCTATGACTTCCCTCCTTTCATGGTGCTGATCATCGCCCTCCTCAACGATGGTACCTATCATGACGCTTTCCGTTGACCGTGTCTTGCCTTCAATGACGCCAGATTCGTGGGACTTGGCAGAGATCTTCACGTATGCCATTGCATACGGACTTTACTTGACTGCCTCTACGTGCGTACTTTCTCTTGATTCTGTGAGAACGTGTGCTCATTGTGTGCAGTGTTGCCCTCGTTGCTATTATCTTGCAGACGTCGTTCTTCCACGATAAATTTGGTGTCGTGTCGCCTACGAGCAGCAATGACCCTCAACTGCACATGATCGTGTACCTTCAAGTTGCCATCATCTCACAAGCGTTGATCTTCGTCACGCGTTCGCATGGGTTCTTCTTCATGGAGCGTCCATCCTTCGCTCTTATGGGTGCTTTCTGCGTCGCACAACTTGTTTCATCGATCATCGCTGCTTATGCCAATTGGGGTTTCACGAACATCCAGGCTATTTCTGGTGGCTGGATCGGGATTGTTTGGGTCTGGGTAAGTTGCCATGTTAAATGTTTGGCGTGCACGTGAACTTATTTGTCGTTGTAGAACATTATCTGGTTCATCCCCCTCGACTGGATCAAGTTCGCGATGAAGGCTACAATCATCAAGAGGATGCGCGAGCGCCACTCCCGCGCTGTCGCTGCCGCTGCTGCGGAAACCGGCCTCCAGATCACCCGTACCCAATCTCGCGCCGCTTCTATCCACGAATCTATGTACTCGAACCGTGTCTCGTTTATTCGTCGTGCCGCACGCAAGGTTGGCTTTGGTACCAAGATTTCGGTGAAGCCCGAGGAGCTTCAACGTTTCAGTAGTATCCAGGCACAACGCACGGGTGCTACGCTCGCCCGCAATCCCAGTCGGACTGCAGCATAGTTGATGATGATGACGACGTAGAGGAAAAGGCACTAGATTTTGGGATGAGTCGTTTGGACGGGTTGGCAATGCAGCAACGAAGTGGGTTTGGTTGGCGTGGGTCATCTCTTGTTTTATATATATATCGGCACATTTTCCCTTTCCCCACCCTCTACCCTCTTTCAGAACTTGCATGCGTGCATATCTATTCATCCAGTCTACCCTGTGATCGAAAGCCTCTCGCAACGAAACCTGGATATCCTTGTAATCTAGAGTTTTTAAAATCCATCTAGTTTTTCACTCATTTCCACCTATTTTAAATCTTCTGCCTGGCAGTCGGCGGTGATGTGTGTTCACCCACGTGACTTTCCTTTGATGTAATTGGCCGGCGCATGTAGCAGACGACAACACTAATAACAAGCCAGCCGTTCTGCTATTACTACCTTACTTGGTGCGTTGGTCCTAGGGTTTGAATGTCACAGTCAGTGCCACACCACTGATGTGCTTTGTGAAATAGACATGACTCGCACGCAGCCTGGCAAAAAGAACCCCAATTTGACTGCGTGCATATATAGCGTGTACTTGCACCGCTGAGCTGGTGGGCAACATTTCCACCCCAACGTCCACTGTCAGATAGTTCCGCAGGATGGTTTACGAAAGAGCAGCTTCCAAAGAGCACCTCGATCCATGGTTCGATGATGGAAACATTATCCTTGTAGCAGAGGGAAAATGCTTCAAGGTTTATCGGGGAATGTTATCGCTGCATTCACCGATCTTCAAAGATATGCTTTCGTGTCCCCAACCCGTTGATCAGGAGGAAGAAGAATCAGACGGCGAAGGCTGCCCTGTCATTCACCTCCAGCAGGATTCAGCCACTGAGGTTCAGCACGTCCTCAGAGCACTGTTTTGTGGCGAGTACGTGATTGCGCGCGTCTCCGTTGGTAATATTCTAAAGTAGACTCAGGTACATCACTTACTCACAGCTGATGCCTATGAGTGTCGCCACCGCTCTGCTCCGCTTGGGCAAGAAGTATGAAATCAAGCTGCTCTTCAACCACGTATCTGGCTTAATGAAGGCATGCTATTCCGTAGAATTGCCGTCGGATTCCGGGCCACTTCGCTTTGAAGGCACCATCACCGAACGGGACCCCCATGATTTCCAGTTTCTTAATGTAGCCCGCGAAGTCGGGTTGCTTTCAGTCCTTCCCGTTGCACTCTACGTCTGCGCTTCTTCAACTGACATAAAGGAGCTTTTCAACGGGTACGAGTGGGAGGGAGTCCACTACTCGCTGTCTCCTATCAATCAAAGAGCGTGTATCATCGGCAGAGATCAGCGCTCAGAACTCGCAAAACGTGTATTCCCCGAGAGGCTAGGTCAATTTTGTTTTTCCGGTCCGTGCAAGGCTTGTTCCCAGATGGGTGCGACAGTATCTTTTCTTGCTGACCCCTTTGCTCTCTGGGATTCGAATTGGGATCGTATGTTTTGCAAATGGTGCGCCGAAAACTGCAAGTCCAAGTACGGTTAGAGTAGGAAGGAAGCGTTTCTCTCGCTGCCGTCAATGTTCGATTTGGGATCAAATTGGGATGAAGTCTGCGAAAACGAGACGAGTTTCTGAGTACTCAGTACTCAGTGACGAAAAAGGGTTATGTATTGGGAACGGGTGGGCGGTCTGGAAAGCCTTGTGGTGGTGGCTCCATTTCTAATCATCTCTCGGTCGTGTCTCGGATACTGTGAATCCCAAGTTCTACCTTATTTGCGTTGTTCAGCCTCCTTCGATAAATGGCCTAGGGCTATTTTACTTCGTATGCATGTTGCCTGGTTTGGATGCTTTTTTAATTAAACACTGCTGATGCTTGAAATCTTCGAAGACCTGTTGCGGGCATGTGACTTCTGCTTCATAGCCATTGATCGAACAGCATTGCCCTTACTTACGCATTGTCAATGGTTTGGTATCGTCAGAAAGTCACAGTGTTGCACGACGCTCCGCCTGCGGTCTACTGATTCTGTTGGGCTTTCTTCCTTAAACCGCGGCTTGGCTTCAACGTATTCGCTTATGCATTGAATTTGGTGTATTTGATCGCAGGACTGGGATACAGGCTTGACGACACTGCGTTGCTGCGACCACGTGCATGTTTGTGGTCTACATCTCTCTGTTATCCTGTTAGCTTTCCATGGGCAAATTGCCTTCGTCCTTGATTATCGAGCACCATCGCAAATCAGCCGACGTGTCCCTTACAAAGGTTCGCAACCCGAACTATAGATACCCAGATATCCCGCCGGTGGATATCGATGACACTGGATGAGGTGACAGGGTCTCCTTAGGGCTCGAGGACATAAGTGATCTTAGTGCGCCATATCGTTCAGAACTTGAAACAAACACGAATGCACTAGAAACATGGTGACCGTCCAACCCTGAAGTGTCAAATGAAAACACACTACGTCAAGCCAAGCAGGAGCGGGTTGGACGTTCGTGAAGTGACATGATAAAGTCATGCAATTACAGTGCCAAGAGCCGGTTGCACGAGTCCGTATTCTGGCCAGATGGGCTCGAGTCTTCGTTGCAGGCAAAAAAAAGCGAACGAAGGCTCTAAACGGATGTGGCGTTTTAAGCTCCTCCAATTCATGGAAGCGACCTACTTACTGATGACATATCCCCTAACTTATGAGAGGTATATCTGGGAGTGCACTGGAGTGCTACTGCACTTGCAGTGTTTTCTAAATGGAAACCGAACGCCCCGCAGCTCTCACTTCTGCAGCCATATTGGGATTTCGAGCCCAACTTCCGTTGACCCAAACTCCTGAGGACCGTGAGGCTGTCAAAGAAGTTGACAAAGTCCTGTCGTGCTTGCTGGCCCCAACTGAATTCGCGTATTTTCGACGGCCTCAAAAGTCGCCTATTGGTCTATATGACCGTTTCCTCACAGCTCGTTGGCCACCAATGTGGGGTAACCAGGAGGAAGGAGTCAGCTACAATGATGTCAGCGTGACATACGCGGATGAGCGCGCTCCAGAGCTCCCAGTGAACACGATATAGTGAGCGCTACTGAATTTCGATTGAAATATACGTTCGTGCGAGCATGGGGCCTGGACACGCGCCGAAGGAGCGGTTAAAGTATTCGGGGAGGCTGCAGGAGCGTGAAGATCTCGAAGATAATGAAGGTTGTTAGTACTACCTAGCAGAAGTATGAGGCCATTGGTCGCGTCAGTAACTTACAGCTTATCGATTCATCTGTGACTGGCCAGCAAAACCACTTGTATTCCGAATTGGGTGACAACGGGATGGATGGACGTAGATCCAGCGACGCGCGCTTACCCACGTGACGTTCCTGGCCACTAATAACAAGCCGACCATTCTGCTATTACCACCTTAGCTGGTACGTTTACCCTAGGATTTAAATGTTACACTCAGTGCCGAACCGCTGATGTGCTTTGGGAATGGACACAACGCGCACGCGGCCTAGCTGGCCAAGAACCCCTATTTGATCACATATAGTATGTACTTGCACCGCTGGACTGATGGGTGGGCAATTTCACCCCAACGTCCACTATCAGATAGTTCCGCAGGATGGTTTACGAAACAGCAGATTCCAAAGAGCACCTCGATCCATGGTTCGATGATGGAAACGTTATCCTTGTAGCAGAGGGGAAATGCTTCAAGGTTTATCAGGGAATGTTATCGGTGCATTCACCGATCTTCAGAGACATGCTTTCGTGTCCCCAACCCGTTGGTCAGGAGGAAATGGATGGCGAAGGATGTCTTGTCGTTCACCTCCGGCATGATTCGGCCAGTGAAGTTCAGCAGGTCCTTAGAGCACTATTTTATGGCGAGTGCGTGATTGCGAGCGTCTCCGCTGACGGTGTTCTAACCTCGGTCCAGATACATCACTCTTTGCCCACGGCTGATGCCTATGAACGTTGCTACCACACTGCTCCGCTTGGGGGGGGGAGTGTGAAATCAAGCCGCTCTTCAACCACGTATCTGCCAGAGTGAAGGCATGCTATCATTCCGAGCTGCCATCGGATTCCGGGCCACTTCGCTTCGAAGGCACCATTAGTGAACGGGATCCCCATGATTTCCAGTTGCTTAATATAGCCCGTGAAGTCGGGTTGCTCTCAGTCCTTCCCGTTGCACTCTACGTCTGCGCTTCCTCAACTGAAATCAAGAAGCTTCTGGACGGGTATGAGTGGGAGGGAGTCCACTACTCGCTGTCTCCTATCAATCAAAGAGCGTGCATTATCGGGGGAGATCACCGCTCAGAACTCGCGAAACTTGCATTCGCCCGGATCTGCGAGACGCAGGGAGATCGCTATTTTGTGGGGAATATGGCTTGTAAAAAAAGTTTCGAAGGTTGCCCCGCGCAATGTTGCCCAACGTCTCTTCCTACTGACCCCTTTGCTCTCTGGGATACGCATTGGGATAGCAGGTTTTGCGGAAAGTGTGTCACTACCTTCAAGTCCCGGTACGATAAAGGCAGGAAGGACGCGTTTCTCTCGCTGCCATCAACGTTCGATTTGGGATCGAACTGGGATGAGGTCCGTAAAGACGAGACGAGTTTCTGAGTAGTGTGCGGTCTGGAGAGCCTTCTGATGGTGATTTCAGAATTTATACTCATATCTTGATCGTGCTTTGGATACTGCGAATCCTATCTCGTACTTGCATTATCCAGACTTCTCTGATAAATGGCCTACGGCGATGTGTCTTACTTCGTATGCATATTACTCGGTCTCGATGCTTTTCTAACACTATCAACACAGTTAGATCTTTGAATTTTCGATGATATATTGCGGGCATGTACTACACGTTAGCAATGGATTAGTATCATCCGAAAGTCAGACTGTCGCATGTCGCCTCGCCTGCGGCCTACGGATTCTGTTGGGTCTTTTTTAAAAACACGGCCCGTATTTCAATCGTTGTCACTCCATGTGTTTGTGTATGCATTGAATCCAGTGCTTGATGACACTGCGTCGCTGATTCCTGAGACCACGTACATATTTGTAGTCTGCGTCTCTCTGTTATCCCACCGGGTTTCCACAGGCGAATTGCATTCACTCTTGATTGTCTAGCGTCATTGCAAATCCATCAGCAAATCACGAGTTTACTTATCCTTACTTGACAGCTACTTAACATTTGCTTATCATACCAACTGCCAAGCAGCCGTCTGCTTGGATAAGTAGATCCTTCTGCTGGATACTTACTTAGCACTGCTTATTTTTTACTTAATGCGTGCTTAGCTTATTAGTTTCTTACTTGAAATAATGCTGGTTCTGTTCCGTCAAGCAGATAAGCAGCAACGAAGTGCAATTAATATCTGCTAAGCACATGCTAAGTAGCAGTGAAGTAAATTACACAGCAGTAAGATCAAGGGATTGAAAAACATAGATGAACTAGCGATAGCAATTGGGAAGATGTATTAGAGATCCTGTTGTGGACTCAGTGGATTGTATAAGCAGTAGGGAATGAAAACCTACAGATAAGTGCATACTCATCATCAGATCCTGCATCACTCAACAGCTTGGGGTTGAGTTCTTGCCCTATTGCAAGTGAAACAAGGGCAAGCTCTACGATGGCTTGAAGCTGAGCAATAGATCTTCTTTTGGTGGCCCCTGTAAACTTCCTTGTTGGGGCTCCCCAATTCTGGTCTGAAAATGCACATGCAGTCTTGCTATCCTTGCCCAAAGCCATGTTGTATTTGATGGGGGTCTGCACAAACCTTGTTGCCACTTTGGCAATACCATCTTTGACATTGACAGGGGACTTGAGCTCGACGTCACCAGATCTAATGAGGTTCAAGCCATGTGAGAGCTAAAAAACTAATCAATACTGTAGCTATGAAAATGACTCAATAAATGTTACTGCAGCAGCACAAAGTCCAAGAGCACCAACAACACCATGCTTTGCCAAAGATGAAGTGTCAAGAGTGGGGACTTGAACGTATCCTTTGGTTGCAGTCAAATGGCTGCTCAGCAGCAGCTGTTGCACAAAAATGGAGTGGAAGGCCTTCTCAGGAACAGTTGTGTCGAGGTCTTCATATAAGAATGTGAAATGATCGAGTAATACTTTTGCAGTGTTGGTGGGCGATGGATCTTGAGGATTGAGGAAGAAAGCTACGAGTTGTGCAACAGCCGCGGAGGCAAAGCCGTGCCTCCAATCACACAAGCGTTGAGATGCCTATGGCGAACACGGTCAGCTACAGATGAAGTCAGAATGAAATGGACTTACAACAGAAACCATGGGTGAGCTGGGAAGAATGCTACCTGCCATGTTCTTGAGTATGGGGTATACGACTGGCATGATCTCCTGTAGAGCCCTGCAAATATCTTGCTTGGCGATGTTGAATGCATCCTCTTGGTTTCTGGCCCATAGGATTAGCGTTGGAATAACTTCCCTCTTCCACTTCTGATCTTTATGCAGATCCGAGGGGAGATCTGAATTGTTGAAACACATTTGCACAGGGATGGTCTGCACTTGACTCAACAAATCGCTTGCTACGATAGATCTCTTGCTAGTAGATGTGGCTGATAAGCTGGACATAGAGTCGCAAGCTTGTATCTTGATCTTCTTTGGCATGCCCTTTGTAACCATGACATGTGACTGAAAGAAAATAAAAGATGAAGGAACATGGAGAAAGGTGGTCAGCACATACCTTGGCTGCAGCATTCTTGTGCCCCAAAACACAGATGGCATCGTCTAGATTGTTGCAGTTATCATCAATGCTGTCACCCTCAACCTCAGAGGTTGAGACATATTCCAACTCGGCTACTTTCCTCTTGATGTTGGCAAGTCTGGTGGCAGGATCATTGGCCTCATACTCCTTGGCCATTGCAGCAGCACACTGAGACTACCATTGCATGAGTAAAAACTGTTTCAGCATGAAAGATACTCAACGATAACATTTTGAAGAGTGGGGACATCCAAAGCCAGAGGTCTCACTGGCCTGCTAGCTTCTCCATCTTTGCGATCAGGTAGCAAGTCGAAGTTTTCTGGTAGTTGGGATTTGAACTTGTAGTTGTATTGGGGTCATTTGGCAGTGGAGAGCCAAGATTGAATACATGGAACTCGACATCGGTAGTACTTGTGGATGGAGGTGGTGCAGCTGATGTGTGAGGACTGGCACTGGCACTCGAAGATCGCATAGAGCTTGTGTCGACGATGTTCACCCAATTTTTGACATGCTTAGATAAAGTCAGTTTATTGTCAGAGCTGGCAGTCATTAGGACATTCGCAAAGAAAAGAGTTGCCTCAGTTAGGAGGAACATGTTAAGAAGTAAGATGCACATCAAACCAGTACTAGTGCCGATGCTATTGTCACGTGTTGATGGTGGGGATACTTTGTTGCACGTGGAGATTATTGCTTCATGCAGTGATTTTGCCTTTGCTGCTTTTGTCCCTTTCCCCTTCATCACTACAGGTCCAGCATTGTCTTCCACGTCAGCTAGGGGGTAAGTGGCTCATTCGTCCCTACAAAAAAAATCAGCCTCATGTTTTCTTGGTTAAGCATGATAGATACCATCATCACTCTCATTTCTTTGCCTGCCAACAGCATGAGGACGAGGATGAGGATGAGGACATGGCTTGATGGGCTTAGCGCTGGCAGTGACACCACTTTGGTTGACCTCCATTTCATCCTTGATTTTGCTGATCCATTGATAACCTCTCTTCAGCACTGCAACCTTTTTGGCAAGGGCTTCCTGGGTGCGTTCATTGTTAGCTTCCTTCTCTGCGCTCGTCTGTCTTCTTGGTTGGCTGTTGAGGACGATCCTACCGGGATGCATGTTAGCCACCTGGCACTTCGGGTGACCACTCGCAAGTGTCTCCTGTGGGCACTCCACGGCTGGTTGGTTGTCCATATCTCGCAGTGCAAAGGGTCGTTGGCTGTGTGTGAAGGTGGAAGACAAAGAGACAGAAGAAAAAAAGGTATGCCCGCTGCCATCTCTTTTGGCTTAGTTCAATTCTATGTTCAGTCGGCAAATCTTTGCTGTCCCACAGTAACTCCCATTACTCATCATTTTTCTTTCAGATATGATTCCCTGCACGAAACCTGGCTGCCACCGATGGTTCAGAAACAAGTTGGGCCCAACCCAGCACGTCAACGTATACCACCCAGTATTTCTGCCTATCAACATCCCCACGCAGGTAGAACAGCCAGATCAGGTACCATCACCTGAAGAGGAACAATTCCAGTTCTGACTGGATGACAATGACTATAGTGACCCATCCGCAAGCCCTTCAAATCCAACCCTTCTGGCAGAGGTTGTTGGACAAGGCAACAAGTATTATTGGAACTATCACCCAAACCTCACCGGTACGCAGTATGGGTGAAAAATTAAGTATTTACCGATGTATTATTTGACAGGGCAGCCTTGTGATTCGTCTGGAAACCCCCTCCCAGTTGGACAGTTGTCCCTGCAAACTCCTTCTGAAAAGCAACCTAACGATTGGTCGCCATACTCCAGTCGTCTGGAGTTCGGGTTAGCTGACTTCCTGTTCACCCACAGCCAGATGTCTGCAGCCAATATTAATGAGTTACTAGATCTCTGGAATGCGACACTTCTCAGTGCTGGTAGCCAGCCCGTCTTCAAAGATAGTGCCGAAATGTACAAGATGATCAATTGCACTATACTTGGTGATGTACAGTGGGAGAATTTTTGCATATCCTATACCAGCGAACGACCAACTGATAATGTCCCATCATGGATGAATGCTGTGTATGATATTTGGTTCTGGGACCCTAAAGACATTATTTGCGATATGCTTTCCTGACCTGATTTTTTGAGAGACATGGATTACTGGCCGTTTCGGGAATATGAGAGTGCGATGGACAAGAGACAGTGGGAGGATTGTTGAAAATACCGGTGTACGGTATTTCTCATTACTGGTTCTAGACTTGCTTATTAGATGAGTTTTACTCATATGATGTCATGCTTTCTAAGTGACTCCACAATGATGTCACTTTACTCCACTTATTCTACAGTGTTCCATAACATTCATTACTATACATAGTAGATAGTAACTTTACTTACTATATGCGTCACCTGGTCTGTGCACATACCTGCATGTATATAAACCAAGGAGTTTCTGCCATATCCCCTCAGCTTAGCTCAGTTCAATCAACTGATCTTTACTACTCTATGAGCCTCAACAGCTCTCTTACAAATACCGTTACTCTCAACACTCTATCCAATAAAGGCAAGTGCTTGTCTTAGCTTGCTGCCCTTTTCCCCTTTGTCCTTGTTCCTCTGCCATTAGGTTATGAGCCCCAACATCTAACCATCAGTGAGCTATTGTCTTATGTGCATTTACTGATCTCTGGCAACAGCCATATCAGCATGCCATTCGATGGCCTAGATGCACTGGGATGGAGTGTTATTGCTTACATTGTGTCACTTTTGATGGCTTTTTATACTACTATATTTTACTTGTCCCTTGGAGGATATGGACCTTTTAGGGAGATGTTTGCATGTTTGATCGTGTTTTGGACTGAAGCCTTAGCTGGTCCTCTATGGCACGACATCTATCTCTATTGGGTATGAGCTTGCATTGCTGCTGCCGTGGGAGCTGATCTACATCTTATTTGCGACGGTCTTTGCCCTCCTATGGTTGAGGCTCCACCTCCCAATTATCTCCTTCATGCTATTCCTGATCATGATGATGATGCTGATCTCGATCCCATTCTGCCTTACACGATGGAAGGAGGAGCCAATCCTCTTCCTCCTCATTGTGAACCAACTCCTCCTATGGAGATTGTGTTGGCATTGAATGACATGCTTGCTCAGGCTAACAATCTGATCGCTGAGATCGATCTCGCTGTCAACAATGACATCACAGAGTTCGATTTGCTTCATTAGCTGCATCATATCTTGTTTCAGAATGGAATCTTATGTCTATCATTTAGCATGTCATGTCTCTTGTTGTCGCCAAACGTACTGAAATTGCTGCTGCCCACTCTCATGACAGCATGTATGCAGGGAATAGGTGGAGAGAGGAGTACATGAAGAAAGTTGTGGAATATATGGAGGCGCTGTATGTCAGAGATTGTTCCCACTGGTGCTATGCCATTCCCGCTAGTAGATCTTTCTTCATGCGCCCGCAGCCATTGCTTGCCCATGTCCCTCTTTCCCAGATTGAGGTGACTTGGGATGGCTTCCCGACTTATCCAGGTCTCGACACGCCGTTTGAACTCGCAGGTATCCATACTGCTTACCACAGTTATCTTACCGACTTCGCCCCTAAAATTTCCTTCTTGTCTTCTCCAAATGCTATCGCTCACTTCAACAGTTGTGACTTGCCTAGTCTCACCTATGAAGATCCTGCCCTCTGGACCATACCAGCCTCCACAATTACCCATGACACATTTGTCTATGTGTATTACAACTGCCATCCCCTCTACGTCTCAGGAAACCCTTTCCACGAGCTCGTCCCTCCTCTCAGGGTTTGGCACGAGTATTTGGAAGGCCATTACAGAGGACTTTGGAGAGAAGGAATTACTGACATCGACTGTGTCCCCCTCCTCTTCAGAGAGCGACAGCCTGGGGGACATCTTTTCGACCTCCAATTATTGGAGTTTGTTGATAACTTTAAAACCTACGCAGATATGGACAAATCCTGAACCGGTTACAACCAAGCTAGAGGTACTCTTTGGTACCTTGACGCTACTGGTTACCACCACTTCGTTTACTGGCCAGGAACAAACTCAGTTCTGGCTGACCTCAAACGTGCAATGGCCTGTGATACTGGGTCATCTTTCATCGAACCCAGACATTGTGGACTACTTGCCAGCACTCTTGCTCAGTCTCATTGTGAGTCGAAGTGTGGTTCAGTGGTGAAAACCAACCAAAACCAACACAAAAGACAACAAAAGCGAGTGGTGGTGTGCCTATGTGGTACCTAGATGGTAGAACCTGTTTTTTTTGGGAGGGTTTCTGCAAGCTACAACACTCAAAGATGAGTGCTGAGGGTTGGGGGTGCTCCTGACAAAGAGGGAGCAAGACTGTGATAGAAAGCAATAGAGTAGACTGCTGTCAGCCTACAGAAGGATGGATGGTGACTTAATTCGATGTCCTAAGCTGTACTGAGCTCAGGGAGGGCTTGGAGCGAAGTATATGGATGATAGATGATAATAAGTGAGGTAGATGATAGCTAGACCCTTAATAAAGTCTCAACTATCAAAGCTGATGAATGATTTACTGAGAGATGATAAATTGCGAGCAAGAGGGGCTCTCTGATGTCTTTTTTTTTTGCTACCTAAGTACAGTGACTTATATACAGTACAGGGGCATTGCCTATGGAAAACAAGGTGTAAACACTTGGTAAGCAATTGGTAACTGATGAGTAAGGAATGTAAGTGATGGGTAATCATCTTGGAAAGCATTGGTAAGCATTGGTAAGGATAAGTAAGCCAAAAAGCGAAGAATCAGTAAGCAAAGTCAAAAGATTGGTAAGTATTGGCAATAGGTGAGTCAAAGACAGTCAGAATGTCAAAGTATGAGTCAAGCAATGTCAGGAACTGGGAAAGTGCACTGGAATCGCATTAGGGGGAGGCTGTGCATGTCACATCTTGAAGAGATCGCTTCTAGGCCAAAGTGGGATGACAGAGAGGCAGCGCTGATCTGATGCCGATATAGTACATCCAAAAGTGGACAGGGTGAGTCAGATGTCAACAGGGGTCAAGCCTTGGGGGTCTGTGGGGTGACAGGAGCATAGGGGATCGCAACTTTCCCCCCCAAACCATCCTCTCAGTGAAGCAAATAAAAACTTCATGAATGAGGCTCTGTTGGAAGAGAGGATGAAGGGGGAGCATCTTCTGCTGTATCTTGCAACAAGGAGGCAAGATGTGCATCATACTCATCATGGATGCGATCAGGGAGAGTGGAGAACAGTAGATTATACTGTAGCTGTTGCAATTTTGGAAGAATGATGGATGAGACTGGTATGAAGATGTTGCAGGGGGCAGGGAGGAAGGATCCATATGCTTCTTGGACCAGAGAGACTGAAATGACCACATAAGACCTTTCCAAGCAAATGACAGACCTGAGGCGGCCAAAGAACGTCCTCCTGGAGGTCATACTGACAAAAAGAACATGCTGACCAAGCTGGATGGGCTGAGAGGGGGCAGACGAGGGTGGGACGTACCAGGACGCTTCAGGATGGAAGCTGGTAGGAACTCCTGGTAGATATATGTAGCCATGGTCCCTAGCAAAGGGGACAAGCGAAATGACTGATGTGGAGGCAGCCATATCAGAAGAATTAGCAAAATGAGCGTCTTTTGGAGGGAGTGCTGTAGAAATGTGTGGAGTGTGCAAATCCTTTCCAATCTTGGAAGGTAGGATCATGTGGCTGAGCACTACAAGCGAGTGTGGGAATGGTTTCGGTGTCTGCAGAATTGGTGGAGATACATCGAAAACCGGAATGCCATACATGGGCACTTAAGAATTTTATTGGCACTTAACTCGCCTCCTCCTTTTTCTTTGGCACTGACAACCTGTTCTTGTGCGAGGGATGACTGCTGACATTGCTGGCTGTCCTTCTTCACATGAGGGCTATGGTCTTCACCTCCATTCATCAGCTACATCCATGTCCACCTCACCAAACACCTTTGGTGTGTGACACCAGTACCATGGATGTACCATACGCATCCGCAGGCTGATTCCTCAAGTATCCTAATGGATCTCGTGAACCTTGCCTAGATAGTGCTTATAATGTCTACGAAATCTTAGCTTCTAGGGAGTACAGTAATTGGATATATGGCTGGTTTCCTTTTCCATATTCATGTGCTGAAGAATGGTTAGCTTTTCGAACCCCCATGGACTTCACAAAATGGGCTGGTCGTTTTTATCCTACCATTACTTCCCTGACTTGTGCTTCGATTTTCTCAAGTACAATGTTCAGTGGAGTTCTAGCATTGCCAATTGGCATTATGCTGAGAAAGGCATGGAACCAGAGCCAAAGATAAAACACTGATCACCACATACTCAGAATCGTCCCGGACAAAAGTCCCACACTTGCAAACATCGAAAACGTATGCATACCTTCCTCCAAGGAACTCTTAATCCTGCAATCACCGATCCAAGGAAATCTTTCCTTTATGACCATCTAATCCTTGACATTTATTAGAATGTCTTCTGAAGGAGGTCTCGGAAAGAACATCCCAAAACTTAATGGGATGAACTAAGCAGTTTGGCAAGTGATGATGAAGGCCTATTTTCAAACTCTTCGAGTTTGGGGAATCATATCAGGAACGGAAGCTTTACCTGCAGATGCCAACGAAGCTAGAGTTTGGCATGTCTTGGATGCACGTGCTCAGGGGTGTATCACCCTTTACTGTGATCTGATGATTGTACTCTCCGTCAATGCTCATGCCACATCAAAATTAAAACGGGATGACCTCGAGTCTAAATATGGCAAACCTTCTGCCATGATGACATTCATGGAGTTCCAAAGACTCCTCAAAATTCAAATCAAACCCAAGGACAATCTGATGGCTAAAATAGCCGAGATCAATATGCTCTTTAAGACCATTACTGGTCAAGGCATAACCTTGGATGATAAAATGAAGTCATTACTTCTTGTCCATTCCATGACAGCTTCCTGGGACCAGGCTCCCACCAATATCCTTTCCTCTATCGATCCCGCTCAATTAGGCCCTGATGCAGTCATCCCTCAGATGAAAGAATTATGGTCTCATCAATCCAGACAATCAATGCTACCAAGACATATTGGGGAATCTTCATCTGCTCCCCAGGTGAAAAAGGAATCAAACTCTT